GTACAGCCGTGAGTAAAATTTCCCGCCAGTACTTATAAACGTAAGAACTACTGACGGGCCGTGAGGTAGGGGTAAACTTTTGAATGGGAAGGATTTGTGCAACGCCACTTGGCAGAAAGGTGGTCCAGAATGTTTGCCAGAGCATGGGCTACTTTAAATTTGGCGGCACAGCATTTATTGTTATTTTGCAGACGATTTTCGTGTCGACTGTGAGCTGTGCCGCAATTGGGGGCTAAGCAGAAGGACGGGGGCAAAGCAGAATTGCGCCGGGGGCGTAGAGGAACGACGGGGGCGAAGCAGATTTTTTTGCGGGGGCGAAGCAGAACGGGGCGGGGGCGAAGCAGAACGGCGGGGGCGAAGAGGAAGGAGTTTCATGGGGGTGGCTAGAGAACAAGCAAAAAGTTGTGATAGCCAACAGTAAGTGTTGATAACTAACTATAACATCAGATCACTATTACTATAGACTAATACCAAGAAACAAAACTAGAACTATTGATACATAGGAAAATGCAGAATGGGCTCAGAGACCTGACAATATTAAGAAAAAGTTGCAACAACAAAAACAAACAAAGGTCGGTGGCTCTGAGTCCATACAAGCCCTTTTCTCCATCCAGTGGCCTTACTACCTGTTGCACTCCTCACATCAAGGGAAACATTAAATTAAGAGGATGGAACTCACTTCAGAGTTTTACAAGTCTTTGTCCCTCTATAACTGACCCAAGCAGCTTGCTGCACTCCTTTTACACTCTACCTCTCATTGAGCCTCAAATATATCAGGCTCTATGCTTTTATCTAAGTTGGAGATTCTTAGGCTTTTTCACATGGTATTTAGTTGTTTTTTTTTCCTTAGCATATCTAACTCTAAGTGTCCACATGGAAGAGGTTGCTGTATTCCAGCTGGCATCTTCAGAGATTTTATCTTACTTCTGGGCCTGCATGTGCCTTTTTAGATCATGTCACACAGACGAATGCCAACTGCACTCCTCACACCTGTATGGTTTCTCCAGTGTGAGTTTTCTTGTGAGAGTTCAGATGACCCAGCCGACTGAACTGCTTGCTGCACTCCTCACACCTGTAGGGTTTCTCACCTGTATGAGTCCGTATGTGTCTCTTTAGATGACTCAGATGACTGAACTGCCTGCCACACTCCTCACATCTGTAGGATTTCTCCCCTGTGTGAGTTTGGATGTGAGTCTTCAGATTATTCAGCTGACTGAACTGCCTGCCACACTCCTCACATCTGTAGGGTTTCTCCCCTGTGTGAGTCCGCATGTGCCTCTTCAGTGTACCCAGATGACTGAACTGCCTGCTGCACTCCTCACACTGGTAGGGTTTCTCACCTGTGTGAGTCTGCATGTGCCTCTTCAGTGTACCCAGCTGACTGAACTGCCTGCCACACTCCTCACATCTGGTAGGGTTTCTCCCCTGTGTGAGTCTGCATGTGCCTCTTCAGTGTACCCAGATGACTGAACTGCCTGCTGCACTCCTCACATCTGTAGGTTTTCATGGTTGCAACTCAGCACACCGTTCCACCAGTTTCTGGGCCTTTCTGATGTTGTGAGCTCAGCTTTCGCTGTTCGATGCCAAAACCAACAGCTAAAACCCTCTAACTCCTGCCGCATGAACAACAAGGCAATTAGAGATGGCACACTTCACACAGAGTCACAGACACACACACGTTGCAAAAAGCGCCCCCCTCCCCCAAAAGGCTACCGCTCCGGATTACGGATCGAATCACGGAGGCCTCAGGACGCTAGATTTTTAGCGATTTAGAGCAGCAACTCAGTTTCCCAATATCACACAAACTATACATCAACTTGTTCCTTAGGATATCTATATTAACACATCCGAAGGAGAAACAGCAAAATCTACAAATTGTACAAAAGTTTTACAAAATAAAAGTTTCCCACCTGGCCAATCCACTTTCCTGCCGCCGAAATTCTCTGCCGTTTCTCGTGGACGCATCTTCACGTCGATAATACCCGAATAACGCCTTATATGGGTAGAAAGATCCGCCGAAAATAGCCGAACTAAAATCCGGACTGGGACGAGAACATCCGAACGTGTACCGAACCGAATTCTGACCTGGCACGAAAGTATCCGAATAAGGACCGAAGCCAAAATCCGACATGGAACGGAAAAATCCGAATGTGGACCGAACCAGCCTCCGAACTAGTACGAAAAATTCCGAATGTAGACCGAACGCTGGACGGAAGTCGTGTCATCCGAAGCCTCTACCAGAAATTTGGAAGCGCCCGGACAGAGTAGAGGCCAAAATTTGAAATGATAGACAAGTAACATGGGAGGGAGGCGGCAAATGTACTCCTCAGCGAACCAACTCCCCTGGCAGGTTTGTCTATCTAGATCTGGCCACTTTAGTAGTAGTAGTACTCTTTCCAGCCGCCTCCGAAGCCTTTTAGAGGCTATGTCATCCGCGTACAAGCGTGTCAAAAAGTTTGCCTGGATTCCAGGCTATACAAAAGTAGCAACAGAAATGTCCAAACAGATGAGCTGTGCCGCAGAATCTAGTAATTGTTTATTCAAAAATAAGAAATGTCTTTCCATTTTTCACAATTTATTTTGATTCAAGTGGCGTTTGATGCAAAATATCTCGTTCACGGTTTTTGTTAGCAGGGCGTAAAGTACAAAGTTTCAAAGAGCTGTGCCCTCATAGAGAACTGTATTGACACAACAAAAGTACGACTTTCGTAGGTCATATGACACAACAGAGGGTCTGCATGGGGACGGACCAAGGCAGGAATCCAGGTAAAACCAGGCTGCGAATACCGGCGTGAGTCGCTTTGATTTTTGAACAATCTGATTTTACCTCAAGGAAATTCGAAAAAGCCTGGTGCATGAGTACGGTCCTGGGTTTGGGCTTGGGATTAGATGCGTTTTATCCGACCTTCTTTTGGTACTGGTATAAAAAAAAGAAGATACCAGTACAAAAAGAAAGCCAGACGAAAATCAAACTCAAAAATAAACCCAAACCTAAACGTCTGCTTGTAGAGTACATGACCCTCACAGGTGATATGAAATACTGTAAGTAGGTCAGGGGCCATACACTTCAAATAACGTTATCTAACATGTTTTCCTGTTTTTGTTACAAAGGACCAGCGGGACACACGCAAAAAAAGATAGATAAAATAAATAAAACGATCAGCCTAATAGAGCGTGAAATGATACTAAATTCAGACCATCTGAACAGATATAACCTAGAATTATACGGTCGTTCCCTCGAAAAAGATGTGTACCTACTCCCGTCCTTAATTGATCTTAATTGTGTACACACCCCTCCCCTTTCACTAACGTACGCTCCCATGTTTAAAAGGCCACACAGACAAACACAGCACAATAGTAGACTCACTACGGCTCACTACAGCTCGCCAATTGGCCTCCCGAATACACAGAACTCAGCAAATACTACCGTCACCGTTAGTAACGTTACAAACAAGATCATTCCGAGAAGACAGCGGTGTTATGTGATTGTTTAATCTCCAAGCACATTTTTGGGTGGCTACAAGTCAATGTCTATCACGGGCAGGGCAGTATCTAATAAACCACCGATCGCGAAGCCTGGCGGGAAAAAAAGGCCGCGGTACAAAAATTAGAGCCGGGTAAAACGCCGCCAGCCTACACCTCTGCTTGGAGAGTAGGGATTTCTACATGTATTGTAGGTTCCCAAGGGATTGAGGCGGGTGAGTTTGTAACACAATACATACTTGTGCTGGGTACTTATTAATTCAGCAGAAATGCATGTATAAATGCCGTGGGAGTATGCATGCGATACCGTACACACGTGGATTGTACAATTTCAAGTTTATTCAGCTCACAGATTCAAGCTGTGACTGTTCCTAGCTTGGTAACCAATCTAATCAAACGGATCGGCTTAGGGGTGTTTTACTGCGCCAGACCAAGGTCCTTGGCCAGACTAATAAGCATAGTTTCTTACGATCCATATGTAACATACTGTTTCCAGCCGGCCTTTCTGATTGCTGCCACGGTGCCACCCTTAAAAACTTAAAAACAACACCGTAAAAAACTTCCGTGCGTGCGCTAATGACTGAGCCTAGGCGGGCGAGCAATAATCTCCAAGCAGATTCGATGAGGCAAGGTGACTTAAGTTGGCTATTGGCCGCGTAGTCTCTACCAGACTAACTAAGCTGGCTATATATAGGAGAATATTTGCCAGGCTTAGGGATTTGGCCGCCATAGGGTTTGATTTGCCGCTTCGGAGGGAAAGAAACAACCTTGGCCCGCGGCCTGACTCCCCTGGCCAATTCTATTCTATTTTTTTGCCGAATTCTACGACCCTTCCCCCACCGAATCTGCTTGGAGATTAGACGAGCAACACGTACTGCCAATACCGGGAAGATACATGGGAGCTCCCGATGGTATGGCTACCAGGCTAGTGTGACATGGGTCACATATACAAATACAGACTAAGTCATAACAATACGGTAACAAAGTCCAATAAATTTGACACAAAATCAACAAGAAGCCATTGGCGACAATTCTCTGTGAAGTGTGATAAATCGAAGAAAGAAAAATTGTTTAAACGCGCGTCGGCTCAGTCATCTTAAGACGCAACAACCAATCAGAGATGCGAAATGCCGACACGTGACGCGGGATTTGCATACAGTCTAAACAACGGGGAAGGGCGCGCGATGCCCGAAATATTTTTGCGTCAATATTCAGCGCCGTGTTTCAAGAGATTAATATCGGGAAACAATTTCTTTTCTTGTTTTGAACGCATAAACATGCATTTACGCTAATCTAGTATGATTCAGGGTTACTTTTTTTTTTACCTGCCATGGCCAGATTATCTTAATATGTGTGTATTGTGTGTACAATCTACAGAAAGAGAAATTTACATCAGGTCCGATCATCCTATTTTCACGTTTCGGTTTTTTGGACTCGGTTCATGAACGTATTTTGGTTTGGCTCCTGGAATGTGCAAATGTGCGAAAAAAATGACTCCCAGGACTGTCTACAGGGAACCACTCGCATATTGCCCAACATTCGCGGTGTATCAGGACAGCGCGACTGGTCGTCACTAGTAGCGCAGTCCCTGTAATTAGTAACAGTTGCACATCAATCCGACCGAAAGTATGATTGTGTAACACAGGCTACTTCTTCATATACCGGCTCATAGTACAAGACGCCTTTACAACTAGCAAATCATAAAATTACCCGATCTACTAGTATGTGCGGTTTACCAGCCCCAGACCACATCCGACCACGAGGCAGAACGCATTGATGGGTTGCTCAAAAATATTGTCCATGTTTACAAAGAGCTGTAACACTATGGAGCGGCCCAACCCAAAAATATTGGCCATGTGTACAGAAGCGGCCAGCATGCTCGTTGCTAGAACGACCGGCCAGTTGCTACGTGACTAAATACACGCCGCCACTAGGTCGCCACAGCCGACCAATTTGAAATCGATAGGATTACGTCATCGGTATTTACATTTCGTAATGTTGACCTCTGACCACCCCACATTTCCGTCCCCATCAGCCTGACCGCGACTTATAATGACTACCGGTCACATAAACGGGCGACAACATTTCAAGGACATGGGGATGTTTCGAAAATAACCATTTACTCCAATATCAAAACAGCTACGGTAAAAATAAAAAGACGTGCATCATCCCGGACATAATGCCACGCCACATGCGAAATTACACAGAAATGCGACGTACGGAAGAATGCGTTTTGGCTGCGAACATCTTCCAAAAAACTTGGCATCCCTTAAGCATGGGCAAAAACATCTGGAACCACTTATCAAAACCACCCCGTATCTGCATGAAGTTCCACCCCCCCACCCCACCCCACCCCCACTGCTATTCCAAACAACGTGTTTTTCTGGACCATTCCAATTCGCCTCGTAATTGTAGGGGTGCGTCTGCAATATTACATTGACCGCGAAAGCAGCAACGGCAAAAATACACATTCGTGCATCAACACGGGCATGCCCGCAGACGGCGTATAAAATTGCGTGCCGATTACACAAAGAGAACCCAGTGTTTTGACTGCGAACATAAAAAATCAGCCGTTCACAACACTCCGTCCGGAGGTCCTGACCTCCTTCACGGAGTAATAAGCCCATAACTAAAGGAAGACCACACATAAACATGCAAAAGGACAGTCTTGTTCATTCTTCCATTCAAAAAGGTCTTAGGCCTTAAGGCGCCTTTACACTCACATGCTCGTCATGTGTTTGTCATGAGAGTACGCGGACTTCACGCTTCTCTGCACTTAATACAAACAGTTCTTTTCACTAACAACAAAGGCTTAGTCCTCGACTTGAATCATTATCGCTATCTTGTGACTGGTGGAATTTTCGATTTCTGGGCAGTTATCGCCAAATGCGGACAGAATAACCGCCACAGCGGGAAAGGATTTGGTATTTTAGTGGAATCATCATGTTTTGGATAGTTTTCTTCCAACTTTCTTTCGTCGTGTGTTACGGGCAGTTCCCCCGAGCCTGTACGGACGACCTCAGCCTCTCCACCGGCAGGTGTTGCCCGCTGTGGCCGGCGGCAGACGGGACAGGGTTGCCTTGCGGGGAGGCTGTGGGCCGCGGCACCTGCCGTCAGATTCAGCCGGACGACTCTCCCCACAGCCCCAGCTACCCCTACGTGGGGGCGGACGACCGGGAACGATGGCCGACTGTGTACTGGAACTGGACTTGTGAATGTCGAGACAACTTTTACGGCGTCGACTGTAGTGAGTGTAAGTACGGCTTTGTAGGGCCCAACTGTACCGAACGAAAGGTTTTAATCCGTCGGAACATCTACGACCTATCGTGGTGGGAGAGAACCCGATTTCTGCGGGCGCTGGACGAGAGCAAAACCACCGTGAGCGAGCGTTGGGTCATCCCCGTGACGCCCTACGTCGACGTCCTCACAAACGGAACCAAACCGGCCTTCGCAAACGTCACGACGTACGACGCTCTGGTTTGGATGCACTACTACGTAGTGAGGGATGTGCTTCTACCGGGAGGAGGGGTGTTTAAAAACGTAGACTTCGCGCACGAGGGTCCGGGCTTCTTACCATGGCATCGTCTGTACCTTCTACTGTTGGAGCGAGAGCTGGCTAAAATTGTTGGTGATGAGAACTTCGCTCTGCCATACTGGGACTGGCGCGATCTAGCTGACTGTGGTAAGTTTAGATCATGAACTTCAGTGTTTAGAATTTGAAGTCACATTGTTGTAAAACCTCGATTTTATGATTGCATGAGCTTTATTTGAGGTTTTAACAATAACATAGGGACCTTCTGTGTGTTAGGCTGTCAAAAAGATCATTAAAGAAGTACATGTAAAAATTTTTAGTCAGGACATTAAATTTAACGGACGAAGTTGTTTGCTATATATAATATAGACTATATAGAATAGCTTGTCGGTCACTAAATTCCGTCAGAATCTTTTACGGGGAGGGAATCGTCAAAAAAGACTTTATCTGCTAACTTTAAACATACTTTGAAGATATATAACGTTGCGTACGATTGACGGCCTATATATATTTGATGACGAGCTTCATATATATTTCTATACATTTCATAACCCAGGTGACATGTGCACAGACGACTTTTTGGGCGCAAGTCAGCAAAATGGCACCGGCAGGCTTAGCGGCGGGTCGTTCCTGTCAAATTGGCAGGTGAGTTTGACCTCAATCAGTGCAAGGCTGAGGATTTGGAGGAACATGGACCAAAGGAGATATATTTTTGGCAAAAGTTCTCTTAAACTAAAATGTACCAGTTGTTTTACATGAATGCGATGTATCTGAACAGGTCATCTGTAGTCGCAGCGACGAGTATAACAATCTCCGAACCGTTTGTGACGGAACGCCGGAAGGCCCTCTCCAGAGAAACGCTGGGAAATCCGACAGGGTGTCGGCATTGCCCACTTGGGAAGAGGTCCAGGCCGCCTTAGACCTGGACGAGTATGAGGCGCCTCCATACGACAGGTCGGCGAACTTCAGCTTCAGGAACTCCCTTGAAGGATTTGCGTCTCCAGAAGGCAAGCGTTACATTTCCCTTCTTAAAACATTATTCTTATGATATTTCGTTCCTATAATGAAATTTAACTGCAGTTTCTGTGTTATTATCGTACTTAGTACTTATAGATATAGCCGTGTGACCCAAGAGCTTAGTAAACTAAAGATGGATGCCACCCTATACGAAGTAACAGTAGATAGTGTGGATCTGTCCTTGGTGCTGAATGCTATCCAGAGATCCAAAGAGAGAGTGACTTCTGACTGATTGCGCCATCTTGGATCCATCTACTCCACCAACATGGCGGCGGCTAGTACTGTTGTGACCTCACATGCATACACCCTACACGATATTCTACGATACAATTTCACAGGTATCTCCTCTGACGCCCGGTACCTGCACGCGGCCGTGCACGTGTGGCTGAACGGCACCGTCACCGCCTCAGCCGCCTCCGCGAACGATCCTGTCTTCTTCCTGCACCACGCCTTTGTGGATAGCATCTACGAACTCTGGCTGAGAAAATTCAGGTACTACTGATAAGAAGCGTGTCAATTTGCCTGTAATGCGTGCTTGTTCTGGTCATTTGAAACTGATGGAGGCCGAAACTTCACCGTTTTATTCATTTTGTTGTAACATTGTATAGATTTGGTAGGTGAGTAGTGTCTGTAGAAACGAAGGTCAAACTCAAGTTCACCTGGTGTTTTCCTATGGTACTGCAGGACCTGTGTATCAGCTGGATTTCATTAGCCTGGGTGCCATCCTGGGAATACAGGATCCCGGTACAGAAGTAGGATAGTCCCAGGCTTGGATTTCTTCATTCTGTGCTACATTTCGGAATTTGTGAGTTTGTTCCTTTCCTTTCAGACCTAACGTAAGCGCGCTACCCGCGGAAGGCGCCCGTATCGGCCACAACCGGGGGTCCTACATGGTTCCGTTCCTGCCCCTCCACACCACCGCGGATCTCTTCACACCTGCTGCGGACTTCGGGTATGACTACGACTTCATGGTAGAGACCGGTGAGTATATTCTAGGCTTACCCCTAAAATAAGGGTTAAAACGAGTGGTCCCCAAACTCTATCTGTGTTTGTGTCTTTAGACTTTTTCTACTTTTATATTCAGAATAAACAACATGACAAACTGGAAAAAGGTTAGCTTGTCGTATGTTAAAGTCAAAACTTTTGATCCAACACAAAGAAGTTCTTTCAAGTAGAGATTTTGAATCTGGTTTTCCTTAGTAGACTGACCCAGTGAGGCTTGTCACTTGTGGCTTCTTTGAAGTGTGACGTCAACACTGGGTCAAGGGTGTCTGGTAGACGATGTCGGCCCCCGTCGCGGTTGAGTTAGCTAGTAGTAATCTTGATTTTTTCTCCTTCCTGTAGAGGGCCGTGCGTGGTGGGAAGATCTAGGGTTCCTGGAGTTCTACGGGGTGTTCCTAGGGGGCGTGCTCATCGGGATCCTGCTGCTCGCCGTAGTGTACAGCGCCTCCAAGCGGCTGTGCTGCCGTACTGCACAGGCTTACAGGGAGAGTCGGAGTACGGGAGCACAGACAATAGACCCGGCATCGGAGACTTTCTTGGAGGCGACGCCACTTTTGAGAAGAACTGTTCCGGAACGACGATGGACCGAAGTAGTATACATTTGAAAAGGACTGGTTTCAGCAGAATCTCGCACATCGTCTCTGTACATTTACATTCTGTAAAGCAGCAAATTCAAAATCACTTTTTCAGGAAGTTCCTTCCATGTCTGCTTTATATTGTAAGAGAGAGACAAGAACGACGTACATGAAACTTTCTGGAGTACGTCCAAGCGAACGTACCAGTTTACTGGAGTAATTGTAAAGAAAATAGGTTTGAAATACTCTGATAGTTAAGCACTGCATTTAATCTGAGCAAATGATACCCTCGATATGAACTAGCGTATATCTGTAGAAGCAAAGGCAGCGTCCTCCGGCAATATTGTATGTAACCATGTTTCGTAATAGAGAGCGTGCCTGAGTGCTGCATGATGTTACTTTTCTTTAAAAGCAAAGGGAAGGCGGTCAAAACAATCGGTCACTCTAAGTGTGTCCGGAGTGTTTACAGATAACATAGCAGGCGTCCTTCAAGACGGCGATCGAACGGACTAGCTGCCCTCCTGGAGTGTCCAGTCAACAGTGGACCCTGTAATTACGCTGACATGTGGCCGCAGAGCTATCCTTCTGGCCGCTCGAGTGTTTGTTCTGCGGCCACCCCTTCTGGACAGGTGTCAAGCACAGACACTCATGTGTTCTAGTCATCACCTAATAATCTCCAAGCAGATCTTTCGATGGCTGCAATACAGTGTGAGACAGTATAAAAATGACCAGACGGTATCAAATTCGCCGCTCAAGGGGCAAATGGTAACCTTCTGGTGGCCAATTTGATTTGACTTGGAGAATGGACATCACCGTGCACCTTACAAGACAAAACTACCGTATTTCTGTTTGTAAAATGAAAATAGAGAACCTCGCCGACAACCCGAGATGTTAAGTATCTTGAAGATGCAGAGAGAGTTGACAAACACTATACTGTATATCGAAATAGTCAACTTTAAGCTTCTTTTAAGATTAAGAATGAGCCAATGTATTATACAGGAGGTGGTGGTGTTGAGTAGAGTAGGTGGGTTGTTCTTTGGCTACCTAGGTAATATTAACTTACAGTATATATTATATAACCCCTCATACTGGACCACTTGAGTTTTACGCTGGCGCTACTTTGCATTTGTTCACATTAAAAAAAGTTATTCCTACGAATACTATGACCACTCCAAGTAGCCAGCTTAATTCATTTACGAGAATTAAAAGTATCCTAATATTTCATGACCTTGCTTGTTGCTGGCTTTGGTTTATTTGCATGGATATGGCATGAATAACAAAAACTCTGAGTGTAAGTATGGTATAGATGGAGTAGAGTTGACCAAGGACGCCTGGTGGTCCATTCATGGTGACAAACATGAGTCGCTAAGGTCGCCCTCTTTCACACACTTCTGTACCCACTTCAGCTTCACGCTAATCAGGGTCACGTACCGGAAAAATAAGTCCTGAGTAGAGAGGCCGACAGGCTGGTTACATAGGACAGGGGATTATCAAAAACGGGGGGTACTCAGGTGCACAGGGAATAGCCTCTACCGGGCTTCGGGAGACGGCTGGAAAGAGTAGAAATCGGTCAAGTAGAGAGATAACATGCCAGGGGAGTTGGTCCGCACCTGGGGTCCGGCAAACTGTACTCTCTAGCGGACCAACTCTCCTGGCATGTTATCTCTCTATTTGACCGATTTCTACTCTTCCCAGCCGTCTATCAAAGCCTGGTAGAGGCTACACAGGGATACCTACGTCATGGAGATTGAAGGAACGAAAGAAGAGAAAAAGGAGGAAACCAATGTACCTAGTGCTCGGAAGCATCGTCCTTTTCCAGTTATTTCTATCCCTTTTCTGACTCAGTGGTGTTCCGATTTCTTTAAATACAGTCAAGATTTGGGAATGTTTTAACAAGAAGAAACACACAAACAGTTTTGTTTACCCAGAGGTAAAAGAACCAGAAACAAGTAACTGCATTCATGCCGCCCGAGCGTGCAGCGCTGTTGTTGTTGAACAGCCGCTCTTGACTGACCAGAAATCCGTTTGACTTTCTGGTTGTTGGGTCGGATTTTCCTCACCACCTGTAACCCCGACTAGCAACGTTTGTGGCAACTTCTGCTGTTACAGACGGGTTTTGTTACGTGTGGTTTAAAACATGTTTTTCGGTCATCGAAGCGTGTGACGGCAAGTGCATGCGTCACTGAAACGTCATAAGAGTCTGGGTGGAAGTTTTGTTGGTGTTCTCACGGATACAGACAGTCATTACAGTGGAATTGGAAGTTATTATTTCGTGAGTCTATTGCGAAACCCTGGAGAGGAGAAGCATTGTCAAGAGCCATACCATGGCGCAGTCACAGACAATGGACGATTTTTTCAGTGAGGCTGTGACACATGGACATCCAACCGCCAACAAGAATCTATGACAACTTTTTCCTACACAGGACAGACGAACTTTGGGCAAGGCTTGTGAACTGTCTCAAGAATGTCGTAAACCTGTCTTACGACGCATGTGAAGAGTTCTAGGGACGTTCTCCGTTAGTGTCATTCCTAACTACTTGCCAAGAGAAGGACGCGAGAAACACATCATGAATGCTGTCACACTTTGCCTCGTCTTTATGCTGATAATGAGATTGGAATGTTCAGGTAAGGAAAATGGCTTATTCAATTGAACAAACTTTAGAACGCGCAATACAACATTGTAGGGAAATGTGTGTGATTTGTTTGACATTTCCTCCATAAATTAAGCAATTTTCACAATAGCGGTTACCAGTTTATGTTTTCAGAACATGAAGTATTAAACGTGTATGAAGAAACTAAATAGATTCGATCTACCATCTGTGCAGTTGCAAGTTATTACATATGTACGACAAAAATTGCAAACGGAGACAGGAAATGATAACTAAATATCGACCTCATTAAGTCATCACACAATCTGCAATCACATCTCAAAGTCTTCAAAATGAAAAAAAATGGTTTCTGACAAAACTTGCTCTTCGTCTTGGTGATTTAAAGACTTCTTAATCTAAGATCTGAAGTATAGATGTTATTTGACATATTCCTGCTGTCACGTCCATCCGTCGGTGTTGGCTGAGTATTATATTAGGTAAGGGTAAGAGGAAATCCGGGTTGTGTTCGGTGTCACGAGGTTCTTGACAGGGAGGCTGCCGGGCCTCTCCACGCTTTGTGCGCTGTTTGCCAGCTCGTTAAGAGGTTAATCTGTGTGAAGTGCTCTTCTTGTATCCAGAACCGTGCCAGCGCCCGAAACGTGCTTTCTCCAAGATCAGACACGTTTCTGGATAGTCCACGCGTATCCAGAGCCGTACCTGGGGCAAATCTGCGTTCTTGGATACGCGGAGGCTATCCAGAACTGTGCCTGATCCTAATCCTGGCCCATTCTGGCATAGAACTAGATAGGTACGGTTCTGGACATATTAAGTGCCCCTTGTTGGACCCGCGTGAAAATGTTGCCAACGACTCAAAAGTGAATTATCGATATTCTTCTTAAGGGTCGGAGAAGTGTGATTTTAAACCTCTCTTCACAAAATATTGATACATGAAGTTGGATACTTTTAGTCTTGGTCGCAAAACTCTTTTATTATTATTTTCATTGCTCAAACATGAAGGAAGATGGTACAACAGAAAGCGGTAACGCTCTCTAGTAGCTAAGACGTATTTTAACGCGACCACTTACACAATTTCATTATTAAAGGATTATTTTAAGACAGTAAGGTTATCATTTTCAGGTGCAGTGCCGGATGTGACACTAGTGAACGAGTTTCCCTGGGTCCCTCCTCAGTCCCAGTTTCAGTTCACGTACCTGAAGTGCGTGACGTCACTTCCGCTGGAGTCCTTCCCGTTCGGGATCGCGGAGAACACGGGGCGTGGCCTCACATTCACCATGTGGAGATTCGCAGGAACCATTCGCCAACCAGCGGCCTGGCCGGGAAAAGAGGTTTTACGACCATTTGTTCTGTTTACCGAAAGGAAAACATATTGTTTTTGCTCTGTTTCCTCTTCTTCATCTCCAAACGAATAAGATCAATAACCTGAAGCAGACGTCTGTCACCCTGGTAACTGGTGTTGGTTTACATCATGTTGCAATTTTATAGCAGGAGGGATTTAGACTCCTGTCTGACCATATATATGAATGTGTTTGAGTAAGAATTAACATAGCAGACTATATGCGAAGGTAAACATTATGCATTTACTTTGCAAATGTTACCTTTCCAGTTTTTTTGCTAATGTACATGACAAGACTAGCGATGTATTGGCTTATCTTTTCTATCTTTGATTTGAAGGTCAACTTGCTACCCAACGCCAACCTTGACCGAATAGGGGCGTTCCACTGTGCGGTACAGAGTGGTATAAAGACGTACTACGTTACTACAATAAAGATGTCAACCACAGGTAACAGAGTAATGCATCTCCTTCAAACACTTTGTGTGTGCATCATAGTTTTGATCTTGACATCTCAATCCATGAAAGTAGACTTTGCTGGAGCGGCGTTTTATGTAATCTATACTTTTATATAAAAAAGTCACTGTACTAAAACAAAGAAGTTCTTTAATTTGTCTTTCTGTTCATCTCCAGCGAGTATTAAGCCCGTAGTCTTTACTAAAACAGTAAATGCCGGAGAAACAGTCACATTAGAAATGCAGTCTGTAGTCAGCATGATGGCACCAATAAGATGGCGGCACAACAACGTCATCATCGCCATGGCAACCGGTCTCAGTCTGCCAATCAGAGGCGTCAGCACGTTAGATGGAGGTGTTTACGAGTGTTACTACGAGGGAACCCGAACTTCGACGACGGCGGACCAGGGGGTCATGAGATTGATAGTCAGAAGTAAGTCTCCTTCAGTAACTGGCATATTGGTTGATGATTGGCATGAAATTTGATTAAAATGGTCAAAATCGTTGGCAAATATGCAACATTATCATGTTTCCCACAATTAGATAATGATAAGAGAAGAGTTGGACGCCCAAACATAACAGTTAAGAAACTTATTGAAACTGAAACTGGCTTGGAGGGACATGAACTTTTCTCAGTGATGTATGACAGACAGTTGTGGCGAACTAACTTTGTATGCTCCACCTCTACGGAGGATGAATGATGATGATGATGATGATGATGAGATAATGATAAATGTACTTAGGAAAATGATACTCATTAATGTCTAAAAGCTATCCCTGATCATGACCAGTAGCAAAGATATGAGGATCGCGATTTAGTGAATATTGATGGCTTAAAACCAGCATAATTGCCCAGTCCCGGCTTAAGAAACGCCTATTTCAACTAGTTTCCTACACACGTTACGTAAATTCTTGCTATTTCATACTTACTTATTGTCATGTTTATTTCTTCCCTCGTAGGATGTCCTGCCGACCTGTGGGGTCCGAGCTGTCAGGACGAATGTCCCGGATGTTACAATGGCGGCGTGTGTGACCCTGACACGGGAGAGTGCGTCTGTCCTCCCGGGTTCACGGGCGGCAACTGTGATGAGGGTAAGAATCAACACTTCATAACATGCAGACCAATGATTAGTGTTAGAAATTAAAGCCTTAAGCTGTACAAAACTACCTTCAGACTAAGCTTTCCACAGTCCATCTTATCCTCACCATACTTTCAGCACCAAGGACAGGACCAAGGGCATACATTTCATAATGCATAACTTCCCCCAGACACAACTTTCTACAGCCCATCTTACTTTCACCATACTTCAGCACCAAAGAGGTAGGTGAGGACAAGCAGATGGCTTTTTCTGATAGACCCATTTCCTTAAAGCTGTTCCTTGCGGTAAGCGACAGTCAGAAAGCCAGACAATCAGATCTCACTCTTTAACTTCTACTAGAAGTCTAGCCTAAAAGACATGCTTCACCCACTACTAGACTAGATATGTGTCAGGACCTATTCTCTAAATGCCACTGACATGTTAACAACGTTGTTTACTGTTTGTATTAAAGCTTGTCCGAGCGGCGTGTTCGGCCAGGAGTGTAACCGGGAGTGTGCCGACCCGAACTGCGCAGGCCGGCTGCTGTGTCTACCCGATCCCTACGGCTGCTCCTGTATCGCCGGGTATCAAGGTCCCGACTGCGACCAAGGTACATCACTGCACAAAACCCTGTCTTTACGCACACGTTAAAGCTTGTGTAAAGGTACACACAAGTGAAGAAACGGAACCTTTACGTATTCTTGAAGGTGTACGTAAAAACAGGTTTTGTGAAGTAGATATTCAAACATAGACGTTAAAAACTGCACTTACTACTTCATATGCGTAGCATTCAGTACATGGGAAAGAGTTTGGAACTTGAAAAGAGACCACAGGTTAGTGAAAAACTAAGCCCCTGTAGTTGCAAAGCTATGAAAGGCTATATAGACGGAGATGGGTGTCCCCTATACACCAAAGAGTGTGGGAAAATTTCACATATTGCCTTTGCCTTGTTCCTTAACTGTAGAGTGCAGGCTGGGTACGTTCGGTGCGGGGTGCACGCAGCAGTGTAACTGTCGGGACGCCGTGCCGTGTGACAGGACGACAGGCTTCTGCGTGGTCGGCTGTCCGCCCGGCTGGCAAGGCAACTCTTGCCAGAAACGTGAGTTAAGTTTTTATATCAATCAGAAGGTTTTTTTTCTAACAACAATGACAATTAAATGTAGAAGCGAGGAAGGCTGTTACCATGCCAGGCCCGCTGATTTTGTGTTTTTGTTTGTTTGTTTGTTTGTAGTGTATACGACAAATGGTGCTTTTATTAAGATAATTGAGAGGGAGAGAGCCGCATTTTAAACGTAGAAACAGCATTCTTCTACCAACGCTAAAGGATTTGTGACTGTTGACAAACTTTTAGGATCGATACGTCGATGAAGGTTAGACATCCAGGTAATACGATACGCCAAAAAGCAGGATCGATGTATGATTTTTTTCTTTCCCTATCTCTCTACAGCATGTGATGATGGCACATACGGGGACAGGTGTGAAGAAGAGTGCCACTGTGTGGAACCGTGCGACAAGATCACGGGTACCTGTAACTCAGCCTGTCTACCGGGATGGAGAGGCGTCACGTGCGGGACACGTCAGTCTTTCCTTCGTCTTACATATGCTAGCTCCCATCTATACTAGCTCCCTCTTCCTTTGCCATTCTATCTGTCCTGATATCAACAAGTTTAAGCAGTAGAGATAGTTAAAGGAAGAAGTATTTGTCAAGAAATTAGCAATCCACCACTTCTGTGGTAACAATTTATGCAAATAGAACATGTGACTTGGTGAGCCGGGATGATAAGCCGCAGAAAGTCTGTGGCGCCCCCCATCTCTTACAAGCTAAGAATATAATTTCATTGAGATGTATTAATACATTTCATTATTTTGTTCTATTTGACAGAACAAATTGTTTCCTTCTTTCTTTCAGCTTGTCCCCCTGGAAGATTTGGATCGAACTGCATGTCGTTCTGCCGCTGTTTGGACGGGGAAGTTTGCGATGTTGTGAATGGGACGTGTCCAAACGGATGTAGGGCGGGGTGGAAAGGGGACGGGTGTCAAGACGGTAAGCAACTGTCAATTATATGGAGTATTCAGTATGAATGAATGAATGATTACCTGTCTTTGTTACAGTTTTTCAGTATTTCTACTACAGTTCAACTTGTGAGAATTATGCGGTAACCGTTACAAAGACGCACCTAGCTTGCTTTCAGAAAGCGAATTTTTTTTCTTGATAAGGCATTGAAATATGTTGTTCCCGTATTAGAGAGAAAATACTTTTTGAGTCACAGTTTTCTTCAACTTTTAAACTGTTTTGTTGTTGATTTTTTTAGCCTGTGCGACAGGAGAGTGGGGCTCAGGATGCGAGGGCAGATGTTACTGTCAGGACAACGTCAATCACTGTAACCTAGCAACGGGGCCAACGCCCGACTGTCAGTGTGACGACTATCACTTTGGAGAAGACTGTATGGAAGAAAGTAAGAAGAATCTGTATTTGTATTAATTAACCTTTAAAACACACATCTGCAAAGGTTTCACTGGCACGCGACGACAGCCGGGTATTTTTACGAAGGGCCACAACGACAACTTCCTATCCGACCAAAATCATTTCCTCTCACTTGAGCCTGGGAAAGTTCGTACATATTACCGAGACACCTAAGCCTTGCATATCAGACTCTAAATACTTTTTGTATCGTTTGAAGGTATCTTATAAAAATGCGTCTATCGTATCATTCAATAACATATTTCAATCCGTATGATGGGTCTAGGATATAATACAGATTAACAAACATATAGATAAATTGAAGCTACCTATACTATATCCAACGTGTCTTCCCTTTCCAACAGGAGTAGCGCCTTTTATAACTGACATCACAAACGTGCGGGTGAACCCGGGCGAGGCGACGTTCCTCAGCTGCTCGGCGGCGGGAAGTCCGCTCCCGACCGCAGACGACATAGTCTTGCGAGACCAAAACGGACAGGTAGCTATCGTCTCAAGACTTTTCCTTAGCGCTATAAATTCATTACAAGTGATATAACAAAACTGAAGCCCATAATGCACATATAATTTCTCGTATAAGTTGTCCCAAGTGTTTATTTCGTATGGTGCTGAATGAATGCATTTCTTAACATCTACTCCAGGTGTATCCACGCTTTGCTGGATTTCCCAGAGGAAACTACACCACCAATTCTTTCCGGCTTCCTTCAACCGACCAAGACACGGAATACTACTGTGCAGTAACCACAACATCCGGCTCTACCTTCCAACGGGTGGACTTTACCTTTTACGGTAGGTTTACATCAGATATATAGTGGTGGTCCTACTATGCATCCTTGTGGTAAATCATAAAACCGTGCTTTATTCTAAGACGTCTTTTACGGCAACTAGAACTTTGTAAAGTTGTATGTCGTGGAACAGACCATAGGAAGCAACACGGTGCCAATTATCTTGTTTGACTCCCAGAACTGCCCAGTTTAACCAAGCCACCAGTGGTCCAACCAATCAACATCCACCCTACGCTCGTCCTCGTCGACTGGGCAGCGTGGAATGAGACCGAAGACGTCGGTGAGGGACCAATCACGTCGTACCAACTTCATTTCAAAAAGTCTGAGGACTCTGATTGGCAGCCATACGGCGACGAGACTCCAGCAGACCAATCAAGAGCGACGTACACCAGAATGGTGATGAGGCTGGCCTTCTCTACAGAGTACGATTTTAGCGTGCAGACTTTCCGTGAAGGCAATAATGGCGGTGGTCCTTTGGGACCAGCTCTTACCGTCGAGACCAAGTGCATGGGTTAGTACTGTAACTATAATCATTTGAATAAGAAACAGCACAAAATGTAACGTTTATGACAATATTTGAATTAGATGTTTACTAAAATTGACATTTTTTTCTGATTCTTTGACTCCTTTGTAAAGTATAACGCAGCCGCACGTTACACTCATTTTCTCTCTTTTCACCCCTATAGCGCCAACACAGCCTCCAGAAGATATCAGGTTCAGCAATACTGAAGCACGACAAACTACTGTATCGTGGCAGGTACATATCGTTACTTCAAACATAATAGCATAGCTGCGTACAGTGCTGAATCATAATACATGTATAATCAAGGCAAATTGATATCTTTTTAACATATTATCATAAAAGTTGCTGCAATTTTCTATGAAGTTAACAAGCAGAGAATAAGGTGTCAGTCACTGAGATGCATATTCTTAATCTACTTTCAGCTCCCTCCATCCGATACCATCCGCTGTAAGGAAGTTACAAGCTTCCAGCTGCTGTACAAAATGTCCGGAGACGAACAGTTCACCGCGACGGAAGTGAACGGGACAGAGAGAGAAAGCGTTCTGATTGGTCTACAGCCCTACACAAGCTATGACGTCAAGCTGTCACTTGTCAACTCAGTTGGCACCAGCTCTTTTAGCGATGTGTTTACCGTGAGGACACAGGAAGACGGTAAGTTGATGAAAGAGAAATTCGCAAGCATAACTAGAATTAAAACAAGCAATTAGCAGTAGGAATTACTTTCTCGTGGGGTCGTGTGGGGTAGCGGCAGAATGCTCGACTCGGAACCAAGAGGTCCCGGGTTCGAGTCCTGACATGCCACCAACCTTGTGCCGTTAGAAAATGCAGTTTACACGACTTTCCTCACTTAGCTCAGGTGAAAATGAGTATTGTATTGTCTCCTGTGTTGGTGGCGGCATTAATATAAGTTGAAAAACGTAAGTGTGCCGTCGCCACGTCTTGTGGTTATATGTTGGTATATAAAAAAATTACTTTCTCGCCAGTACAATACTGTTCAAACATTTAACAATGTAGCAGCACGAAACCATCAAGAGCCTGAATATTGCGTTTTTTCTCCCACAGTTCCCGGCCCGGTATCAGACCTCGCCACCGAGCCGATTTCGTCAAGCTCCGTACAGATCAGTTGGTCTGCGCCCGTAAACAAGAACGGCAGAATACTCGCACACGTGCTGACCTATCGTCTGTTGTCTGACAGCCAGTGTCCAGGCACTGAGGTGGCCGTGGCAAGCTCTAAGGTAAACTGAGACTTGGAAGGTTCTAACTTGAAAATTTTATGTGAAAATGATAGAGTAAAGATTTTAAAAGTGTCATCAAGTGTCCAGACGAACTGTTTAGTAAGGACGTGTGTACACTTCAGCACCAAGGACAGATGACATCACTACTAATCAAGTACTGTATATCCGTAAAATCTACTACGGGCAAGTTAAGTGCTTTCAGCTGAAGAAATGAACATGTTCATTTTCTCGTTGCTTTGAAAACCATCATTCTTAATTATCAGTCTGTGTTTATATTGTTGATCATTTCCAGACCCTGCTCTCCCGGACCTCACACACACTAAGCGGGCTGCAGCCGTACTCAACATACCAGATCTCGCTGAGCGCACGGACCCTGGTAGGCCCGGGCCCTGAGGTGTCCACTACTGTCACCACGTTAACAACAAGTACGTGGCATTTTTCTGTCGGTGGCGTCCCTCTGTTACATTATCCCTACTTAACGTTAGCCTCTGTCTTTTCTTGACTTCATAACTTAAAGATACCCTTGATCTTAAGAAACGTGTACACGCCTTGAAACTAAACTTTCTTATTCGCCTTTAGCACCAAGTGGTCCTCCAGTCAACGTCACGATCGAAGATGTCCTCATCACCAGTGTTCTCGTCTCCTGGTTACCACCCGCCTGTCCTGAGTCGAACGGCGTCATCACCCAATATGGCGTCTCCGTGGTACCACTAGACTCTGGGAACGGGAACGAAGTCCCAGATGTGATGACTAGCAACACGCGGATGAGCGTCTCAGGCCTGAGACCGAGTACCTGGTGTGGCGTCAGAGTCAGGGCGTACACAGAAGTCGGACCTGGCCCGTACAGCCGAAAGTTAACGTCTCCACTCTAACGATGAGTAAGCATTTTCTCTCTCTCTCTCTCTGATCGTGAAAATTTACAATATGTGGCCGATTCTTTCACAAATGATTTTATGAAGATTTGACAAGCCAAGAGTTTGAAACCGTTATCATTTTTCAAAGATTGTAGCAAGGGCACCTTTGGCGTGTTCTGTGAGCTGACTTGCCACTGTCTTGGCGGGGAGGCGTGCGACCGATTCAACGGCTCCTGTGCAGTGGGATGCGCAGCCGGATGGACCGCGGCAGACTGTCAACAAGGTATCCTGCTTCAGCGAAAAACTTAACAGCTTTTTTTTCAGACACGCTTAAGTCATTTTGCTTGCCAAGTTTCTCACTTAACTAGGATTTTACATTCTTACCACCTAAATTTCCACGAATCGTAAAACATTGAATATTTGATATCAAGGAAGAGTATACAATACTTGCAACATATTTTCTGACGATGAATAGAACGAAAAACAGAGCTAACCCTTGTTTTTCTCCTATTTCTAAATAAGAAATTTGCTACAATTTTCAGAGTGCGATGTCGGGTGGTATGGACCGGACTGTAGCGAGCAGTGCCACTGTCTGGACAACACTGTCCACTGTAACAGGTTCACTGGACCGACGGAAGAGTGCGAATGCAACGACCAGTACTTTGGGAACAGATGTCTTCAACTGAGTGAGTTGATGCTTGATTCCCTATCTGTTCTTGATCTACCTAAAACTGATTAATACTATGATTGGTGTTACATAATCACAAGTGGATGAATTTGAAGTTTTTTTTTTTTTCTCAGAGGTGCCACCAAACATCACCGCCCTTTCAAATGTGAAGGTCAACCCAGGTCAACCAACGACCGTCTTTTGCACCGCGACCGGAAACCCTGCTCCTATCGGAACGGAAATGACGTTACAGCTGATAGATGGGGCATTACTTCAACCGACAAGTATTCTTACGTCTTTAGCTTTTACTACAAACTTTTATCGAAAACTTGAATTGAAATTTTGTTTACAGTCTACGATAGGTAAACAGAGTGGGAAGAAAATTGATGTATTTTAACCTATCTTTCATCGTCTCTCCTCATCATAGCTTCCTTTTCCATGGGAAGAGGGAGGTCGGCCCGATTCAGCGTGAATTCGATCCGACACGGAGACGTCCTGACATGCATCGTGAACACTCTAGCTGGATCTGACGAGAAAACTGCTGATCCTCTTCTTTATGGTAATTTTCAAAATAACGTCTTGATTTGTATATCAACTAGAGGACTTTGGAACACTGCAACTTTATCGATTTACTTCAATCGGCTGAAAATTAGTTTCATGAATTAGATCTTTCATTTAATTTTCAGAACTGCCACTGCTTGTGAAACCGCCAAGTGTCCTTGAACGTGACATTGAACCGACACGACTCACCGCAACATTTGACCAATGGACTCCCGACGTTGACCTAGGAGAGGGTCCTGTTGTATCCTACACTGTGAAATATAGAGAACTGACGGACGAAAACTGGAACTCACTCCCTACGACTCAAGAAGATGGTTTATCAGCGGTGTACTACCAAACCATCGCTGGACTAACACCATACACAACATACGATATATCTGTACAAACCTTCCGGACAGGGGAAGGGGGAGGGGGGCCTAACGGTCCTACTGCAACTGTCACAACAAAGTGCCTTGGTATGCTACCCTTTATTGCTTTTGTAAATATACTGTTTCTATGTAACTTTGTATTGATGTAAACTTTCACTATTTGTATTCATCAGATTTACGTACAATTTGCCGTATGGGTATTTGAACTTTTAATTTTTGTACATCTGTTTTCTTCAGGGCCTACTGAAGCTCCAGTGAACCTGCGTCTCGGCAGTGTGGGTGCGCGGTACGCTGTTGTAATGTGGGACGCACCCGACCCTAGGACTGTCCGCTGCAGAGAAATCACGGGTAAATGAGATTGCCATAAAGAAATGCACGACCGTGTCAATTGAGCGTAACGTACGTACAACATAGTAACTCCGCGTGCCGTGAGGAAACGCACATCGTACTACTAGTACTTTATCATTTGGCGAACCTCGGTAAAGAAAGACGATATTCTCGGGCAGTTTTTTTCCACCGTAAACAAAATCCATTTTCGGTCTGTAAATCTCTAACAGAGACCGAAAGAAGAACAGCAAATACAAACACAAAGTATAACGCAAGCGGCCGAGGGTTAGCATTAGTTTGTGTAGTAACGGGCGATGTCCTTGGTGCTGAAACGGGGGGTCCCTAACACCCGCCACGCGGGTTTGAAGCCGTCTCCTTGCGAGTACCTGCACTGAGCGGCCCCGATGCAGGGGCAAGAACCTCAAATATGTTCCGAGGAGAATTTCATGAAGTCTGAATTCTTTCCTACAGGATTTCAGTTGTACTGGAAATCGCCTGGAGATTTTGACTACACGGTGAAGTATGTGGACTCCTCGGACAGAAACCACACACTGTCCAACCTGGCCCCGTTCAGCACTTATAACGTCAAGATGGAGCTGCTGAATGAGATCGGAGCCAGCCCAGAAACACCCATCCTGAGCTTCAAAACTCCAGAAGATGGTGAGATACTTTTACTGGTTGGAAAACTATCACAACACACTATTTTTTTGGGGGGGGGGCTTCTTTTTGTCTTGGAATGTTGTCTACAGCTTTCTACGCCTCTCATAGCCTACGCCAGTCTATCCAATATCCATAGTTCATTGCCTTTCATGACTAGTACTATCCAGGCAGAGTGAAGCTATACTTTCCAAGTTTACACCATTCTTGTTATGATTTTCAGTTTTGTTGTTGTTGTCCTTAATATCTAATATCTCGCCAGACGTGGTCTCTTGGTGCTGGTTTGTGCATGGTTCAGTTCAGAATTAATTGTCTCTCTAGGTACCTAACTCTTGGTGCCTTTTCAGTTCCAGAGGAAGTTCGGAGCCTAACCACGTCTGTCCTTTCCCCGACCATAGTCGGTGTTTCTTGGGACGCGCCGATTCGAACAAACGGGATTCTCCAAGGTTATGACCTGTCGTACAACCTGACATCCAGGGGACAGTGTATCCCGATTTTTGACACCAAAACCGTCATATCTGTTTTGCGACAGACAACAAACTACATCATAACAGAGATGTTTCCGTACTCAACATACGAGATATCGGTCAGTGCAAAAACCAGTGCTGGTGTTGGCAATGCAAAGGTGTCCACAGCCACAACACAAGAAGCAGGTGACAGCATTTCTCATATTCAAGCTGTTTTAAATTAACAGGCATTAAAAACCACCCTTTCTTTCCATACGTAACATTACTATGCATCTGAAATAGCAGTACATGCATCACCAACAAGTTTGTAATTTGGATACATTTTTGCTTGAAATAGTGTATTTTTTATTTTTCATTTTTTTGTCAGTCATTCAATTCTATTTATCAAGAGCTTCCCATGTTGTCATTAAACATTGACATGATATTTTCGAATTTGAGTCCAATACTAGCAATCTGTCTAGATGTTTAAATTGCATGCGTTCCTGCCTTCCAACAGTACCAAGTGGTTCTCCCTCAAACATACATGCGACTGAAGTAGACATGGAAGAACTGACATTTTTATGGGACCCGCCATCTTGTGACGTGAGAAACGGCGTCATCCTACGATACGATTACATCTTTGACGAGGTTGAGGCAGCAACGAGAGAGTCCAGAACCACAGGAACAGTCACGTCTACTGGAGCAACATTCAGGGGGCTTCGTCCTGACAGGTAACCAATCACATTGCTTCATCACTAATGCCATGAACACCTGTGAAATTAATAATTAGCGAAACAGAGACATTGCTTGAAGTCATTTGTTTTTAGTGCATACTTTTGTTTTAAATTTGTGTCTGTAAAATTGACACTAAAATGTATATTTTACCCCAGGTTGTACATGATTCGAGTACGAGCTTCTACATCTGTAGGAGCGGGACCTTACAGTGCCCAGACCCAAGTCGCCACCTTGCCAGAATGTAAATACATTCTTTTATCTCCTGGTGTTCTCTTAAACATCATGTCATGTAGAAAGTTAACAATAGGATAATTTCTTTGTCAGACATGTTAAACTTTTTGTGGAGAAAGGTTTAAGGTAGTCCAGTAGCTTTTTTCAGGCTGCTGGGGCATTGGGTTGTTAATTCACCATGTCTAGGGCACGGTATTGGAAGGTGGAGCCTATCCCTCTCCTTCCACTGCCTTTTACCTCCCCAACCAAAGCCAGGTACCCATTTTAGACTTGTGTGGAGTGAAGACAGTTGTGTTAAGTGTCTTTCCCAATGACACAACGTCCAGTCCCAAATGCAAGGGATCTAACTTCTCGATCTCCTATACACTAGCCTTGCTACTCGACCATTCAAAGCGGAGGAAAAGGAATGCAATACTAGTATTTTTTGTTGTTGTTGTTACAGCTTGTCCTGCTGGATGGTTTGGGCACTACTGTAACCAGAGCTGCTACTGTATGAACAGTGGAGCGTGTGAGAGGTTAACAGGATACTGCCCATCTGGCTGTGCTAGTGGCTACACTGGGGATGCCTGTAATCAGGGTAGGTATACCTCCAACATCTGCTTTGAACAGAAATAAACAAATCAGTAGAACCTATGGGTAGCAAAATGTTGTGGTAAGCGAGATGCTATGAATAGTAGCCTCTACCAGGCTTCAGAGGTGGCTGGAAAGGGGCTGGAAAAAGTAGAAATCTGCCAAAGAGACAGATAACATGCCAGGGACGGACTTAGTCTGCTATAGGAGTACGGTAACCTCTGCCAGGCTTCAGAGGCAGCTGGAAAAAGTAGAAATTGGCCAAATAGACATTTCAATGCCAAGAGTTAGTCTGCAAGCTGTATTCCTGTAGCAGACTCCCCTGCTATGTTATCTGTCTATCTGGCCAATTTCTACTTTTTCCAGTCACCTCTGAAGCTTGGTAAAGGCTATAGGGATATATTTAGACAAAAGATGTAGGAAGATATACATGTACTTAGAATGTGCTACATTTTGATATCCTGATGTTTTTACTCCAGTTTGTCCGCTGAACCAGTACGGCCCCAACTGTACATTCTTCTGTAACTGTATGAACCCTGAGGACGGGTGTGACAGAATCAACGGACCCACACAAGACTGCCAGTGTACCGCCGAGTGGTTTGGGACTAACTGCACACGGAAAAGTAGGTCTATGTCTGTCAGAAACCCATCAAAATTGATATAAAGAAACCTTGATTACAGTACAGAAAGCCTAGGGATGTAGAGGGAGCTTGCCCTCTCACTCTAGTAAAGAACCATCCCATCACCATGAGTTAGCTGTTCATAATTAAAATTGAATACAGTATTCACTACACATCTCCCTTCCCTGCATTGATTTAACACTTCAATTCTTTAAAGCTGACCAGTTCAGATGCAGAAGTCAATAGTTAACCTCTAACAAAAGACCAAAAGCACATCACTGTGAGCACTGAGGACTTAGTATACTGCAAATGGCCAAGGTTTCCCTTTAGTGTAGTACCAGGGTCATGTCCTTGGTGCTGAAGTAGTGGTTGACTAACACCTACCATCTGGGGATTGTGGCCTTCTCAATGCCAACTGTCTTCAGAATCTAAAGCTCACACTTTGATCTACTTTCCAGAGAGCCTGTCTGATGTGACCATTGTGACTTCACCACTGTACTCATCAGCATCTCCAGGATTTCCCAACATCAAGTGTGTAACGGCCATGGGGATGGGGTCTTTTCCCTTCGGGGTTGCTAAAGACACTGGGACAGGAACAACCTTCACCATCTGGAGGATTGTAGCAAGGATTCTGCCGGAACCCTGGCCGGGAAGGATGGTCAGTTTCCTGCCTATGGCAGGGGAAGCTGCCCTCGGGGCATTCTACTGTGAGGCACAGTCACTGAAGGGCATCCTGACAAGAGTAACAACTGTCAGGGTAAAGGAGGGAGGTAAGATATGAAGTCTTCTTTTTCATTTTTGGTTCTCAAAGTGGAAGCTTTAGTTTCATCAGGAGTTTTTTTTTTAATTGCAGTAATGGTCCATCAAGGTACATGTATTAGTGAACTAGGAAAAGCTTGCTACATGTAACGTTACATGTTTAACTTGACACATGTCAAGAATGCAATTACATGCTGTGCATTTTACTGTGAAAGTTTGGTGGCACATATCAGTAGCTACAAAAGGCTTAAAGCAATATCTTCTTGGTAAAATGATGTGGTGAGCAAAGATTGGGATTATCTGCTAGAAAAAGGACAACAAAGTAAGCATAATTGTTAGTAGCAAAGGGCAATGATCATGGCAATTCGTCTGAAAGAAATTTTACTTCTGTTTCAAGTGGATCTTTCGCCAGAGGAATATTCCCAGACTGTATCAGTAGGAGAATCAGCCACACTAACGGTAACACCCACAACCATGTCTGGAGGTGCTGTGAAGTGGATGCACAATGGAGAGGAGATACAAGCCACTGGCTTTCAACTGCACATAGAGAATGTACAGCCAGAAGATGCAGGGCTGTACGAGTGCTTCTATGAGGGGCAGAGAACAAGTGATAATAAGAACCAAGCAATGATGAGGTTAATTGTAAGAGGTAAGACACTTATTGTATTATTGTACTTGTTTACTTATTGTACATGTATTATTGAAAATCAGCATATCTGAATCTGTTTCAAAACCCTTCCACAAAGACTGCACTATTTTAAGTTCAGACAGAGAAAGCTGATTCTATTAAAGTGCATGAAAGTCTTTTGATAAGGTGCAACATGTATGATAGTGTAAGCATCATAGTCAGCTATAGTACCCATCAGCTAATATATACATTTGTACTGAACTACATGTGTACCTGATATTGTCTGTTTGAAATTGGTAGGTGTTGTCTCTTACAGAGTCAGAACAATTAACTTTTCTGGGTAACACTGGCACATTCATTTCAAATGTGTTCCTTATTCAATCAGGCTGTCCGGCCGGCCTGTGGGGTGACAGTTGTGAGTTTGAATGTCCAGAGTGTTATAACGGTGGCCAGTGTTTCCACGGGTCAGGAGAATGTGTCTGCCCACCAGGGTTCAGTGGGACTTCTTGTGAAAAAAGTGAGTCACCTGTTTTGAGTGTTCAATATTGAACTATCAAAATTTTGTAAAAATGTATTTTTTCATTGTTTAAAATTAGGCCATGTTGATTTGATTATATGGATGACATCCTCCCGGAGCCCCAAAACTGATGCGCGCGTGCGAATAAAAAAACGTTTTTCAAAAAAAAAAAGTTCTTTTCATTATGAAATCTATGTGGTCTTGAGGGTTGAGCAAATGGCACAGAATATGGTTTGGCGAATAATCTAATCTTCAAGTTCATTTCTTTACAATTTCGTCTTTTTTCGTTTGATTTTGGCATTCTACGACATTGGTATAGTTTTTATTAATTTTTTTTGTAACTTTATTTTTGCTCATTTTGCAACTGTTTTGTACGATTTACAGTATGGTTGAAAACTTTTTTTTTTTTGGAAACGGCCGAAAATTCATGCGCGCGCGGATGTCATCCATATAATCAAATCAACATGGCCTTATCATACTTTTCAAAATGCTACTGAAATTTGTTGTGGTGCCACCTCTCAAATTTAGCCGACTTTTCTAGTAGGTTCCTCGATAGAAAATGTTTCTGATTTCAATTGATCTCAATTCAGTGACACATCTAACAAGACAACTGAAAAAGTCATTATCCCCCTGAGCTTTCCTGCTCTAAGCATGAAAAATACAGTATTATCAACAATCTGATTGTACCTTAAGTTTGTACTGCAAATTGTTACTTTTTGACTCTATGTATAATGTACAATACACATAATAATGAGATTACATGTAATATCTGGTAATATTGCAGGTTGTGGAGGGAACAGGTTTGGTATGGACTGTACCCAACACTGTGACTCTAACGATGACCAGTCAGACCAGTGTTCAGGGCTCCTGCTGTGTGTACCTGATCCCTACGGCTGCTCCTGTGCTACTGGGCTACGCGGACACCAATGTGACCAAAGTATGTAATGCTGTATCCTTAGTCTGGGTACCATCCGGATTTTTGCTCCGCAACGCTAAAAAAAAATGATTTTTTCGAGCGTTGCGGAGTGAAAATCCGGATGGTACCCATGCTACTGTATCCTATGAAACAGAAACATGTGTATTGGGTGAGTAACAAGTATTAGGCTTACATTCCAAAACCTTTATCTTAAAGGTTAGAATAGTTGGTTTTCAATGACTAGCTTCATTTTTATTTCATTTTTAGCTTGATTATTTTCATTGTCAAGTCAAGTGTCTAAAGCAAGCATGCCGCTGCTTTGTCATAAACCTCCAAATTTAATCATTATGGTCAATGGTACTAGCTACAATCATTTCAAATTGAAGGCAAGTAATAGTACTATTCAGAACTTTGAATCAGATAAACATTTGTCGGAAGAGCCCAAATGTATTGGCTTTCCTCACTGCTGTCAGAACATTCCCATGTAGATGCATTGTACATAAAAGCAACACAGTTGCTCCTTATAATCATATATTGCTATACATGTATTATGTGATGTTTGATTCAGCCTGTTTGCCGGGGACATACGGTGCAGGGTGTACCCAACAGTGCAACTGCAGAGACTTGGAACCCTGTGACCCCTTCACCGGGAACTGTGCAAGCGGCTGTCCCGACGGTTGGCATGGCGACTCATGTCAACAAAAGTGTGAGGACGGCACATTTGGAGAACAGTGTTCCCTGTCCTGTAACTGTATGGAGCCCTGCAACCACGTAACAGGAGAATGCTCAGTCAACTGTGAACCTGGATGGAAGGGGGATACGTGTCAGGAAGTATGTGTTAACGGTACCTACGGGTCTGACTGTGAAGGGTCCTGCCACTGTGTCATAGATGAGCCATGCAACATACAGACAGGAGAATGTTTTAAGGGTTGTGCAGCAGGTTGGATGGGTACATCGTGTCAGGAAGCTTGTCCTGTTGGAACGTTCGGCCCCAACTGTAGCCTAACCTGCCACTGTTACGGAGAGGAAGAGTGTGACAGGTTCTACGGGAACTGTTCTCAGGGCTGTGGTGCAGGCTGGAAGGGTCCATCCTGTCAGCAGGGGTGTGATACAGGAGAGTTTGGGCCAGACTGTGGTTTGGACTGCCACTGTCTGAACGGAGGAGGCTGTGACGTTATAACCGGGGAGTGCGAAGGGGGATGTGGCCTTGGTTGGACAGGAGAGGGTTGTCAGGAGGAGTGCAGAGTGGGCAGGTTTGGAGCTAACTGCACCAGAGTTTGCCACTGTGAGGGAGACTCAGCCTGTGATGTCAGGACTGGGACATGCCCGGGACCATGTGCACCAGGGTGGGCAGGGATGGACTGTCAAGAAGGTACATGTAACTACTACGTTTTCCTTCCTAACATAACTCAAGATATGCAGACAAGCCTTATATCAGCAATATGAGATTTTGAGAAAAACATGCAAATTTATTTATGCATGCAATGTACAACAGTACAACAATATACTATGCCTGGGGCTTTCATTGTACATGGACATTGCATGCTATATAGTACTTAGCAAAAACACTTAACTGATCAACCTGCATAGAGGCAAGCTGTAAGATCCATAATGATTGGTCTGTCAAAACATTTCTCAGTCAACTCCTACTTACGTTTTTCTGAATTAATATGTTTCCCCCATGACCAGACATAGATGAGTGTGAGTCCTCACCATGTGAAAATGACGGCACCTGCGTAGATGACATCAACTCCTACAGCTGCACCTGTCCACCTGGATATGGAGGGGACAACTGTCAAACAGGTGTGTGGAAATAGAGACAGTGTAAACTTGCATAGATTTATTCTGTACTAAAAGTTGTCATGGACTTTCAGGGGCTTTACAAGGTTCTATAATTTGTTTTTAACCTTTAGAACACTGAAGTAGCTGTTTGGCTGCCAATTCTCTATTGGTTATAGCGTTAGGTAGCAGGAAGAAGGTAAAATATAGATGCTTTCTTGGTAGTTATTTGAAGAATACTCAATATTACCTTTTCATGCAATGGGAAGCTTGTGTTGCAGCTTTGTCAAAACTGAGCCAACTGATGAGCCAACTATTTTCTATGTTCTTATTTCAGATATAGATGAGTGCCTGTCCAGTCCCTGTCTAAACGGTGGCACATGTACAGAAGGACTGAATCATTACTCATGTGACTGTCCTGCTGGTTACGAAGGACAGGACTGTGAAACTGAGGTAGACGAATGTTTGTCATCACCTTGCCATCACGGTGGCACCTGTACGGACCAGGTGAACGGTTTCACCTGTAGCTGCCCACCTGGCTTAACTGGTCTCAGGTGTGAAATAGACATAGATGAATGTGAATCGAGCCCCTGTTTAAATAGTGGGAGCTGCCTTGATAAGGTAAACCTCTTCACTTGTGCCTGTCCGCAGGGTTTTGGAGGAGAACTATGTCAAACAAATATCAATGATTGCGCACAGAATCCCTGCATAAACAATGGTAGCTGTGAGGACGCCATCGGACCCTACCAATGTTTGTGTCCACCGGGGTTTGAGGGAAACAATTGTGAACTTGACATCAATGACTGTATCGAAAGTCCATGTGATCACGGAGGAACCTGTATGGATGGAGTCAACAGCTTCAGGTGCATCTGCACAGCTGGCTTTACAGGTGACACCTGCTCAGTTGACATTGATGAGTGCAGCTCCGCACCTTGCAAGCACGGCAGTACATGTGAAGACGGAATCAACATGTACACATGCGCCTGTGCACCTGGGTATGATGGAAACACCTGCCAGAATGATATAGATGAGTGTCTTTCTGTGCCGTGTGAAAATGGCGGATCCTGTGTTGATGACGTGAACTCCTTCAGATGCCAGTGTCTTGCAGGTTATGAAGGAGAGACGTGTCAATATGAAATCAACGAGTGCAAATCCAGTCCATGTAGAAACAATGGTACATGCACAGACCAGATCAACTCTTACACATGCTCCTGTGTTCCTGGCTTCCAAGGGCCACACTGTGAAACAGACATTGACGAGTGCCTTTCAAGTCCCTGTCAACACGGTGGAACATGCGTGGACAGAGTGAATGGTTACGTTTGCCTCTGTCCTGATGGTTATGAGGGAACTCACTGCGGAATCGAAATCAACGAATGTCTATCAAATCCGTGTCAAAATGGCGGCACATGCACAGATGGCCTGGCTGGTTATACTTGTACATGTCCAGTGGGTTTTAATGGTGAAGACTGTGAAAACAATATTGATGACTGTAGCCCTAACCCATGTATGAACAGAGCCACCTGTGTGGATGGAGTGGACAATTACACCTGTGACTGTGCAGCTGGGTTTGACGGAGAACACTGTGAAATAGGTAAGACCAACATGTGTATTGTCATGATGATTATAACCACACAGGTATTAAAGAAGGCTTAAAATTGTCTTAATTAACAGACAATGCTTTACTAGTAAGCAAATCTGGCTAGGGAATTATTCCTGATTTTGGCTTATATCTATTCAAACATTGGAATATAACATCATGCCAAAACATTTCTCCATGCCTAGTGATGCTAAGGTTTACTAGCAAATGCAAACTGTTGACAAAAAGTATGTTCTGTTTCTTAGATGTGGATGAGTGTGTGTCGTCCCCCTGCTACAACGGAGGCACCTGTACTGACGGGATCAGCTCCTACTTCTGCACCTGCACACCTGGTTTCCATGGTGATAACTGTGAGATTGACGTTGACGACTGCGACCCAAACCCCTGCACCAACGGAGGCAGGTGCATCGACGGCGTGGCCTCCTACAGCTGCTCCTGTCCACGAGGATTCACAGGAGAAAACTGTCAGGAAGACGTAGACGAGTGTTTGTCGAGCCCTTGTAAGAATGGAGGAACCTGTCGGGATGGAATAGGTTTCTACGCATGTAGCTGCATGCCTGGATTTGAAGGTCAAAACTGCGACAATGACTTTGATGAGTGTAGCTCTGACCCATGCCAAAATGGCGGCCTGTGTGACGACGGCCGCGATTCCTATATCTGTAACTGTCATCCCGGATTCAACGGAACAAACTGTGAACACAACATCGACGACTGCTGGCCTAACCCTTGTCAAAATGGTGGGCAATGCACGGATGGGATTATGGACTACAACTGTACATGTCTGGAGGGGTTTGATGGTATACACTGTGAGAACAATAAAGATGACTGCAGTCCCTACCCATGCCTTAATGGTGGAAGCTGTGAGGACGGCATTGCTAGCTTTGTTTGCCACTGCCCTGACGGCTTTGAAGGGCAAACCTGTGAAGTAGACATTGACGAGTGCAAATCCAGCCCTTGTCAAAATGGTGGCATGTGTGAGGACGAGATAAACGGTTACACCTGTAACTGCACTGTCGGATATGAAGGAAAAGACTGTGAAATAGACACAGATGAGTGTGCTTCCACCCCCTGCTTCAACAATGGACAGTGCCAAGATGGAGTCAACTTCTACAGATGCCTGTGTCCTCCTGGGTTTGTGGGAGACAATTGTGAGACTGACATAGATGAGTGTCTGTCCCTGCCCTGTTTGAATGGTGGGACTTGTGTGGATGGGGTTGACAACTACAACTGTACATGTCCTGCTGGTTACACTGGTCAGACATGTGAAACAGGTATCAATTTTATAAGACTAGGAATAATTGCACTGCATTTATCATCACAGAAAGCAATCTATGAATATTGATATGATAGCTTTAGCAATTAAGAACAATACTTGGTGATGTTAGATGTTGTATTTATAGAATGCTTTCTTGCTATAAGGAGGTAATGTTTCCTGGGCAACTGTCAGAGAAGCCCAGCAGTCAGTAAACAGTACAATTCTTCACCTGACATCTGCTTGAATATCAGCATCTGCCATTGACTAAATACTGGATTCTCTTTGCAGATGTTGATGAGTGTTCATCTGACCCTTGTCAACATAACGGCACTTGTGAAGATGGCGTGAATGGCTACAGATGTGTGTGCATCCCTGGTTATAACGGAGAGAACTGTGAACATGGTCAGTAACATGCTAGTTTGAAAGTTACTACACGGTTAAAACTGCTTGATTTAAAAATTGACAAGATAGATTATCACAGTACAGTGTAAATCTGGTTCAAAGATAACATATTTGCACAGTAACTTGTAGTGAGTTTTACATGTGTCAATAACAGTTTCAGCACCACGGACAAGCCCAACTTGAATTCAGTTGCAGATATTGCATATTTTGTACCACACAGTCAAGCATAATGATCATGACATCCAAACTAACATCACGTTTGTATCTGCTATTCCAGATATTGATGAATGTGAGTCGAGCCCATGCCTTAATGGTGGGACCTGCACAGAAGGAGTAAATATCTACAACTGCAGCTGCCCACAAGGATTTGAGGGACAACATTGTGATATAGGTACATAAAGTTTAGTTCCAAAGTTTCCTGTCATCAAATGATTCAATGCTGTTGAATCACTAGTCATAAGAAAAAATTAAAAATCATCAGAAACAAATTTAATTCATTGTGGAAGTAATCGTCATCATATACAGTGTATTTGTAAATATAGCTTTTAGTTTTACAATTTCACTTTATTGGCACTGCGTCCTATTTCACTGTCTTCATGGCATTTGTTCTTCCTCTCTCAGATGTAGATGAGTGTGCGTCCATGCCCTGTTTAAATAATGGCACCTGTGTGGATGGAAAGGGAAACTACACCTGTTTGTGTCCTGATGGGTATACTGGACTGCTGTGTGAAACAGGTGTGCCATATATTTCCTTTACCCATGGAAAATTTATATCATGTGTTATCTCTTTTACCTGTAGTCCCAAAGTTGTTGTAGTTACTAGTAGTTGTAACATTACATTATATAATCTCAATCTCAATAAAAAGTGGTAAGCAAGGTGATCTGAGTATTTAAGCATAGTTTATGATTACCTCCTACAAATGCCACTTTTGTACAGTGTGACACAAGATTTATATAGGGATATTCCTATACTACTGATTGTGTTATTTTTCAGATATAAAAGAATGCAGTTCCAATCCCTGCCAACATAACAGTACCTGCCATGACCTGGTCAATGCCTACAACTGTACATGTGCTGCAGGGTTTGAAGGGGAAAACTGTGAAGTTGGTAAGAACATTGTGTCACAAAAGGATTTGAATTTCTTCTGCTGACTGTTCCTATGTTTACCTTCATATTCAAAAAGAGCTATAAGTAATATATTGACTCAAAAGTGCACATGTACAATGTCTTTGTATGTATGTATGTCAGAATGGAGGAGATACACCAATGTTCATCCCTTTTTTGTTACAAAGATATAGATGAGTGTAGGTCCGACCCATGTCATCATGGAGGGACCTGTGAGGATGGCATCAACTCATATCTCTGCCACTGTGTGCCTGGGTATGAAGGAACTAACTGTGAAAATGGTAAGTACGAAATACAGTTTCTTAATCTTATCATTGAATCATACTAGAGTTTTTCTTTACATACATATTCTTTCTTCTTTTGACAATGAGATTGAAGTGTTTGAATGACCTAACAACCTTGTCTTCGATGTGTAAAATTACTGTGGATTACATGTATGTGACAAGTCTTTCCTATTCTTCAGATACAGACGACTGCATCAGTCACCAGTGTCTGAATGGAGGGAGTTGCTTGGATGGTCTCAACAACTACAGCTGCTTGTGCCTGCCAGGATTTCAGGGAGACTTCTGTGAAATCAGTATGTTTCTAACAAACTGAAAATATTACTACTTATACATGAACTAGTAGTCAACAAATATCAACTACTAGTATCTGAATGTCTAACTTTCATCAACATATAGTTAGTAGTATCAACATTGTTTTCCTCTGCTGATATGAAAGGATGCAGTGACAAAACTGATATGTTTACCTTTACACAGATGTAGATGATTGCTCATCAAACCCATGTGACAACGGAGGGACCTGTAAGGATGGCATCGACTCCTACACCTGTCACTGTGTACCTGGGTATGGGGGCACAAACTGTGACACTGGTAAGTTATAAATGGGTGGCGTTTATCCATTTAACATACCGGTAGTATAACCATAGCACAGACTAAGAGTTATGATAATTTGTCAGGGTAATGGTATGTCGGCAGAATGTACTGCACCTGCACGGAACCTGTTACGTATTCGCACAGGAGCAGTACGTTTTGCCAATGTGCTCCGCTATCTCAACTATCTTACCTTGACACCACTAAAATATATGGCTTTACAGTTAAACATCATGGCATGTTCCAAAGAGTATAAACTCTCACAGAAGTGTACTAGACAACAGAAAAAGATCTTAGATTATTGCTGTGCCCCATAGGTGTTTCCAAAATCAGTAACTTGGCATCACATACCTGAAGATGATAACTTGAGGACTGTTGATGATTTTCCATTAATTTTTTCCCTCAGATATTGATGAATGCAGCTCGTCCCCATGTGCAAACAATGGAACATGTACGGATCAACTCAATGGATACCTGTGTCAGTGTGCTGAAGGTTTCACTGGGGAGCAATGTGAAGAATTAATTCGTGTTCAAGGTATTACTGCAAGATATTTCATAGCAAATATTAGTCTTCTATACATCAATGAACATACAGTGTTTTTAAACACAACTACATGTAAATAAAATGCATTCAAGGCAAATCTCTTGATGGCAAATCATCTCTCTACGGCATAACTCACGTCGCTCACTAAAAAAAAATAACGCTGCCGCCCTACAACTCTTGCAAAATAGGCTATATTACAGGCACAGTATTACAATGTTCCTCATCTCTTGCAGATTTGGCAGACAGTTTCAAAGAAAAAGGCGACATTGGAAGAATTTCTGCAAGCATGGAGTCAAATCGAAGAGACATTGGTGCAGAGGACATCTCCAACTTACTCGGCACTAATACTGCAGACTTAGAGGCTCAAGCAAGGGAACTCGGACAGCAAGAAATATTGACCTTACTGAATCAAACATTTTCTCTCAATGCTACTGATCTTGCCAACAGGACAGTTTCTAATACTAATGTAGTAAATCCCTGTATGTTTTGCTTTGCTTTGTGTCTTTCCTTTGTAATGGTATTGGACATAACATGGAAGAAATAACAGTAGCTAATGAAAGCAATACTCTATTTGCAGTATTTGATTTGTACAAGTATAGTGACTAGAATTGTTTTATTGACAAAGGCTAACTAAATTTTATGGCTTGGAGAATTGTTAGCCTGAAACTTGGTTACGGGTATAACGTAAATTATGCCACAACTTTAATCAGTATAAATCAAATCTAATCTAAATTTGAATCTATTTTTTTGATTACCGAAAAGTTCTAAAGAGCAGATACTGTGTGCATACTGATAAGGACATCTGTATTAAATCTATTTCTGAAACTTTTTCTGGTGGTACCTACTTGTATAGGGCAGAATAGACTTGTCAAACAAGAGTCACATGCGCTGACTACAGTGGCAGAGCATGCCAACAAATAATACAGCAGGAGTGTATACAACTGTAGGATTTGGAAAGCACCACTTGTCGGAGAGGGGGAAAATGCATAGCTAAGGATTGGTCCTGACTAGTGGGACTGTAGCATAGTGCATGGTCTAAACCTGTAAAGTGTGTATGTGCAGTGTGTGTGTGTGTCCACATTGGATCAAACAAGACAAGAGTCACTAGTTTTGTTTTATTTTTACATGTACTTAATGAAGCTTTGCCCAAGATGACATTTCAATTCAAGTACATGATCATGATTGAAGAATACGAGCCAACTGAAGGTTAAAAACATAAAAGTACTTTATCGTCCATTTACTTGAAAGGAATATGAGTTATGGTACATGATCTAAACATGCCATGATCTAAACATGCTTTTGTATACAATATCTCTCTCCAAAAAAACTAGTTTGCTTTTTCCATACACTACAATTATTTATCCTCACTTTGTAAGGAATGTTTCATCTTAGAAAAGTGCTTGAATAGAATCTTCAATGTATTTCCTTCAATATAACGAAACTTGCATTGTGACAGTCAGAAGAAGACTACTTCTGGTGTCTTTACAAAATAAACTTGTGACACGGGGTGACCCATATGTTTGTCTTCATACTTCTTTTTTCTATACGTTGTCGACGTGGTGTGGAAAAGAAGCCGTAGCCGGCATTAAGACGAGATCAAAATGAAAGGTAGGATGAAGAAGGTGGTGACACAGAACAGGATCATGAGGAACATCATCTGGACCGGATGTAGGAGTTCATCAAAGTTCATCTCCTCCAACACTGCTGCAACTCTGAAGGAGTCAGACATGATCCTGACTGCTGCTGCTGGTGGTGTTGTTGTTGTTGTCCTGGTTACTACGGCACCAGAACAACCAGGAGGATGCTGGGAGTTATGCCTCTGGGCCCTCTCCTCCTGGAATCAGCTGCAATAAGGAAAAAAGTATTAATTTTTTTTTTAATCAGTCTAAATTCGTCCATAACATTTGTACAGTGTTTTCTCTACATCCTGGTCATTATGAAAAGAAAAGGATTGGATCCTACCATAGTGATGTTGTTTCCATTCAGCAAGATCTGGTCCAGCTTTGTGATTCTTCTGCCTTCTGATGTGTTCTCACTGTAAAAGAGAAAATGATTGGAATATTAAGATCGCAATGTAATGTAATTGCATTATCAATATCACTATTGCCACGACATTTTGTTGTCAGTGATGGCAACTAGCAACGGTATAGCTATTTTGCTATTCCTTCCATCTTGGATACAATCAATCAATCAATCAAATAAGTAAATAAATAACAAAACAAACAATACCCTGTTGCAATGCTGTGTCTAGATCAAATTTTAAGACATACATTAACTTTTTCCTACAGTATTATATATACTATTAGCTTTTCAACTGGTTAGCTGATACATGTTTCTCAGTGTTATTGAATCATACCAAGCATGCACATAAATACTAACATATTGATAATATGTAACATTATTACATGGTGTACTACAAAGAAGTGTATAAAGCTGAGTACGTTTACTCCATAATATATACTCACAATTCTGTCACATCCTCCAAAACCATGTCTGCAGAAGTGTTAAGGAACTTCACATAGCAAGAGGACACTAACAAATATAAAAAGAAGAAAACTACAGAGACAAAAACAACATCAGTCCCATCAAAAAGGTTTCATGGCTGACAATGACAACTGTAGTAATACATAAGAAGTACAAGTGAATACTATTACTAGTACATGTATCAAGACAAACAACATCACATGTCAACATTGTTCCAAGAGTAGACGGGTCCATTCCATGAACAAGGTTGATGGAGTCAATCGAAAATTTGGGGTAAGTCCAAATACTTTGTTAGTTAGTGTTGAAGCTATGAAGTTAAAGCTTAGTTAGTTAGTCTATACTTTATTTCATAATGACTTGTACCAACACAGATGAACTTTCATGCTAAAACATGTACATGTTGCACAGTGTAGATCCCAGTACCAAAGGATACTGACAAAGTCATCGAACCCCAGCAAAGTTCCCACGATTTCCTTGTCGCTCTTCATGACAATGTGGATGCGTGAGCCGATACACTTGTCCACCAGTTCTACATGGATGGGAGGGGGAAATAACAATGATTATAAAATTATTAAAATGATAATGTTTGAGCAGCTTGATACTATTCGTTGAAAAGTTGAAGAAAGTTTTTAGTAAAAAGGCATTTATATATGCGTAAGGTGTAGTCAGTTGTTTTAATTACACATTTTTGTACGTAATTCAATATCAGGGGATTGATATAATACAAGCTCTTAAGTAGTAAAACTTAATTTTTTTAAGAGTGCAATTATTATTATAGAGCCCCCCACACACAAAAATATGCAGTGAAATTTATTGACATCATAGTCACAGCTCTTGAAGGTAAACACGACTTTTCTTAAACATTTTAAGGACATGTTCTATACACTATGCATATGTCCTATTAAACAGCCAAATTGTGATTCTATTTCATCAAGAAGCAAAATAAACTTTACATGCTAACAAAACAAAATGGCATGTGCATGCTGTGCTCAGCTCCGAAACAGCCATGCTATTTCTGTCACTATAATACGACTAGGAAGACATAACTTGGTTCCCCTGTGATGGGAAACATATGCAGATGTATTCTGACAGTTAATATCAGACAAATATACCCAGAACCAGTCAGAATTTGTAGAAAAGTGACAAACCTAGCGGCAAAAGATGAGACGGATTGGTCGGATTGGACGCCATCTTGAATCTCCCAGCATTCCTTGGGGTTGGAAAAAGAGCGGGAATTTCAAAATGGATGAAAACATGCCTTTTGTAAACACGTCACCTAGCGAGTCGATTGTAACACGCAAAACAACGCCATTTTAATAGCCACTGATGTATCCTCACTAGTGTATCCTCAAGGTAAGTAGTACGTGTGCGTCACTGGTACTAGTAGTATCTCCAAGGAGGTTCAAATTGAAAAAGGCTTCCTTTTTGAACCTCCTTGGTATCTCCACAACCCACAAGAGCCACAAGGTTGCTGGAAAATGGGCCTGCAACTTATGTAGCTCGAAAACCGGTTTGGCAAAGTTTTACGCATCAGTCCCGTACATGTAGCTCTATTTGGACCCGGTCATAACATGCTATTGTACAGTATAGTACCGACGTTTACGACTCCAAGCTAGTGACGATGCTTGTAATCATTACGAAATTTCTGTTTCGATCAGTATCCGTTTGGTACGTGTAATCTGTAAACAGGTCGTGCAATATCGTGTCAAGGAGGTTCTTTAATTTTAAACGCCATGTTACAACAAGGCCAACAAAATTAAAGGAAAACTTATACTACTTTTACTAGTAAACGAAAAGAAGAAAGCATATATACAGAGAAAGACAAAACGATTAAAACCAAAATTTACAAGCAAATTCTAGTAAGCGTTATGGAACCGTGGTATGCCCGATCCACTGTGACCTATTTAATATAGCATTGAATATTAAAATGTTCAAAAATCGTTAAGACGAAAATGGGATCATTTCTACCGGGAGGCTGCTAAGTCATGACGGATGACCCTTAACACAGACGGTGCCAGAATTCTTTAAGACTCCACATAAACAATTAAGGAGACGCCAGTGGCAATCAAACCCGCGACAAGTCATGTCACACTAGCCTGGGTACCGACCTACTTAAGGCCATGTTGATTTGATTATATGGATGACATCCGCGCGCGCATGAATTTTCGGCCGTTTCAAAAAAAAAGTTTTCAACCATACTGTAAATCGTACAAAACAGTTGCAAAATGAGCAAAAATATACCGTAAGTTACAAAAAAAAAACCATACCAATGTCGTAGAATGCCAAAATCAAACGAAAAAAGACGAAATTGTAAAGAAATGAACTTGAAGACTAGATTATTCGCCAAACCATATTCTGTCCCATTTGTTCAACCCTCATGACCACGTAGATTTCATAATGAAAACAACTTTTTTCTTTTTGCAAAACTTTTTTTTTATTCGCACGCGCCCATCAATTTTGGGGTTCCCGGAGGATGCCATCCATATAATCAAATCAACATGGCCTAACTACTATCTAAGCTAAGGTTTAGGCTTTGGCTTATTTTACGTGTTTTTAGGCTTTTTATAAATGTATTTTTTTTGTACTGGTATCTTTTTTTTACGTCGGCCAAACTCGTGTGGCAATTTGTAACTGCCTGGCAAATGGATACTAAGTGTTGCTTGGCCAATTTGATATTGTCTTTGCACAATATTGCAGACACCAAACGATATACTGGCGCTCGTACCATCTTCGTTATTATTCTACGGACATGGTATACGATAACTAAGATATCACCCAGGCTAATGACATACGTACATAATAATGACTTTATGAATGTTTATCCAATCTTAAGTATGTCTATCACAGAGTCTTGAAACTAAGTACACTTTGTCACCAAACTTCCTATCTTTAAACCACCAGGTGGTACCAATGCATATACTAGTATACATCTACAATACACCGAAGAAGGTCACTAGGGTTTCGAAGGGCCAGAATCGTAGTTCATGCCACAACCGGCCCCCAGTCGTCGATGAATCTAGCGTGACACACGGGGGTGAATTGATAGATGTGCGTCTGCTGAGGGATGCACTCCAGAGGGCTGCTAAACCACCGTCTGCCGCCAGGGGATGCAACACCCTGACCTGTGGTAACATTGAGCGAGGATGCGTGCAAGACTGAAGTAAGTAACCCCCATACAGGTTGTTTTACCCATTTCCTGTAAGTGTGGTTATTTTCGGGCGTTCTTCTTAGAAAGACGTGGTTAGGACGGTAAATGCATGCTTTCCTTTTTCATGGTAAGCGCCGTATTTCTTTACAATCGGCCCCAGCCAACAGGATCCATATTGAATCATAATATATGCAAATGAAAACGCAAGGCCCTTAAACCCCCTCAAAAAAGGGAAAAGAAAAAAAAAATGGATGCATTTAAAGTCTTTTTACGCGGCATCCCATCTTGCCATCCCATACTACTCCATGTCTCGGAGCCGATATTGGGAGGGAAGATCGATTGTTACCTTTCTCTGGCAATCCACGTCTTTCACTCATAGCCTATTCCCAGAAAAATGGGCGCCCATGAAAACTTAACGATTTTCTCTCCCAATATCCTGACATTGAGACTAATAATTCAAGGACAAGAGGTCATAGCTTGAGAATAACAAGGAAGACCTTCAAGGGGAATACAAGGGCATTATTCTTTACAAGCAGAATGGCCAACTGGTGGAACAGTCTTCCTGAAGAAGTGGTCTCTGCACCCTCGGTAAATGCCTTCAAGAACAGACTTGATAAATACATGGAGAGTCATCCAATTATGTACAATCACACGGCCCTGGATTGCCCGCATAGGCCGGGAATGACAGTCCGGTAGAGCAACGAGCAGCCTAAACTGGATGGATACCTACCTGGCTGAAAGGATCTACTATCTACTATAATAAAGGGGAGACAGGGGTGTCAGAGTATACAGTGCAATTTTACGGAATACAGTGCAATTTTATTTTACGGAATACAGTGCAATTTTACGGAATACAGTGCAATCGTATTAGTATACAGTGCAATTTTACGGAATACAGTGCAATCGTATTAGTATACAGTGCAATTTTACGGAATACAGTGCAATTTCATTTTACGGAATACAGTGCGATTTTACGGAATACAGTGCAATCGTATTAGTATACAGTGCAATTTTACGGTACAGTGCAATCGTATTAGTATACAGTGCAATTTTACCAGTAACATTGCACTGTACACTAGTAAAATTGCACTGTGTACTAGTAAAATTGCACTGTATTCCGAAAAATTGCACTGTATACTCTGGCACCTCTGGGAGAGGCAGGGAGAAGTATGATCCTTCCCGGGCGGCGTCACGTGGAAACAGCCGGATTTAACGACCGTCGTAAAAGGCTGGCGCCGTCACGGGTGTGCGGTGCGCCAGTCAGCCGTAATTTGGCGGGAGGGCAGAACGCAGGCCGTGAATCACACATGAAAAATACCGCTGGCCTGATTTCGCTGAGCCTGGTCCTCGTGCGGCAAAGTGACAATCGTGAAGGGGTCACAAGTTCCTGAAAGAATCAAATTGCAGGAAAGCCGAGGAAGTGTAAATGGCGTCTGATTGATAACTATGTTCCTTGTGTGTAAAACGACATTGTAAATTTATATATTATAGCTGTAAATTCAAAAGCAAACTTGTATCAAATTGCAGGAAAGCCGAGGAAGTGTAAATGGCGTCTGATTGATAACTATCTAGTTTTCTATTCCAACATTTCATGACTAGACATGGTGACGGCACACTCAAGTTATATCAACTTATTTTATGCCGCCACCAACGCAGAGGACAAATACAAGACAGGGTAATACTGAAGTCGTGTAAAGTGCCTTTCCCAAGGGCACAAGATCGACCGGTGGCATGCATGTCAGGACTCGAACCCGGGACCTCTTGGTTCCGAGTTGAGCACTCAGTGCCGTTACGCCACACGACCCCATGTGACGGTGGTAGAACGACATTGTAAATCCATATATAATAGTTGTAGATTCAGAAGCAAACTTTTCGAGATGTATAAGTTCAGCCAGTATCGCCGTATGCAGTACACGTTTTCAGGATGGAAGAAAGATCCCCCAAGATCTTGTTCAATTTCCGACGCTGTCTGAAATATACCTGCCTTTGATATACGCATGTACTCAAGGTCAGGAGCAGGTGCTTTTGAAATCACACGGCGCGCTAGCTGGTCCCACCCTCCGTATTATTGCTTGTCAGCTACACATATTTTACGGCGAAAGTTAATAAAACGTGATATATACGTCCCGACATGTACTAGTACTATTTGATATTGATATTAGATAAAGTACAAAAGTTTAAGGTTTGACGTAAACAGATCTTAATGAATGTCTCATGACAAATGTTCAATAATAACTGCGATTAAGAAAATACAGTCAAAATGAATTGTTATTAATATTGAACAAAAATTAGATGTTCATTTTTCTTATTTTCAGTACTTAGTAAATCTACGCAAATGTTGAGCTCAAGTCCCTTACTAGCTCCAGGCGACCAATAGGCGCTCTCCTTGTCCTCGAGAATCTACTTGGATGTGTTTTTTCTGAGCCAACCTTCGTCCCAGCCTCCCAACACTAATCACCTGTCCCGGCCTGATCATGATGAAACTCCGCCATACATTGTCCCCGAGCCGTGTTTAATATATGTGCTTATTTACGTACAACAATTGATTTTCGCATGGCTACTGCTAATCCTTGTGGCAGTTCTAATTAATCTCCAAGTCGTTTTCATAGCCTGAATCGCTACCAAACAGCTAGTAAACAGGCTTTAGTGGCTGATACTTTGTCATTCTGAAAGGTTATCCGTCTTCTTTAGTACCGTGGTAGTGATTCTGAAAATACGTTCTAGCAACAAGGTTCCTCCTTGGTTCTAGATAGCTCACCGTCTTCCCTGAAAGATAAACTACTTGTGACGCCCTGTGTGTTGCGTTAACGATCCTCTCCCCTCACACAGGCGATATTTTATTCATATCTCCTTTAAGATTATCAAACCCGTCTTCCGGAGGGCGTGCTTAGAATCCGGGGAAAGTCAAGATGGATGGAGTGAGTTCGGAATGGTCGATCTCTGTGCATGTGGCCGGATCGAAAACGGCTCGGGACTTTGCGCGGGTCTCCAGGATTTTATAAAGGGTCGCAGGTGGAATATCGAGCTGCAGTTGCGTTCTATATACTGAGATGCTTCGGATTTACAAACGAGATGTCTCAAATCTTACAAAATCTATTTACAACTGACGAAGCGACAAACGACTTAGGAATTTGCGCGGGTCTCCGGGATTTTTCCAAGAGGTGCGGGTGGAATATCGAGCTCCAGTTGCATTCTATACAGTGAGATGCTTCACGATCTTACTGTATACAACAAACATGTCAAACGAGATGAATTTCATATCTTACAAAACACATTTGCAAACGAAACTAAAAACTAGTACTTGAAACAAAATCTACTATTTCACTTTAAATGAAATACAGCGAATAATAGTAAAAGACCTTTGTAACACGACAATAGACAATATATTGTTACTAGTCGTCAGTGTTACTTTTTACTTCCACAGGCCACTCTGCTTGGTGCCCACTACTCTCCAAGCAGAGGTTTGGGCTTATTTTTGGCGTATTTTTAGGCTTTTTTTTATCGGGTTTTTTTTTGCACTGGAATTTTTCCCCAGACCCAATGAGACGAAAAAAAAATTTAGTGAAAAAAAGAAACCCCGATAAAAAAAGCCTAAAAACACGCCAAAATAAGCCAAAACCCAAACCTCTGCTCGGAGAGTAGGTGCGTACGTGTGTTGTGCAACCACTCGCTTCTTCACTCCATTGTGTAGTTATGTGACCCGGACGGCTGAAGCAATTATCTGCACAAGTGAACACCGTCGCTCCTAACCCGCGGGCATCATTAGCAACACAGGGCTCGACGATTCTCTGCTTCTTTGTTGTCTCTCGTTCTCTTTCCTTCAGTTAAAGTTTTTTTTTTTCTATCCAATCCTATTGTCGTATGTTCCTTCCTATTTTCTCTTCAAATTCTTTCACCAGTTCCTCTCCCTCCATCTTTTTAGTTTCGGAAAAGTATCTGAAAATAAAAGAGTTACGGCATGGTTACGGTAATCAGTTAACAGTTGATAGCGCAATTGATCCGTGTTTCTGAGAAGGAAGCATATCATGAAATGTCAATAGAACAAACAAAAGAAGACAAACATGAAAAACTGACGTCATGTAGGACACTTGTGTAGAAGTTCTGAATTTTAACTTTGCGGCGCGGTCCACTTTATAAGTGGAAATTGTACATCAGATGGGGAAATGTTTTGATGAAATACAAAAGGAACAGTTTGGAAATCATGACGCACACATCCTTAGTAATCTTGTGGCTAAATACGTTGTTGAAATGTACGTTTCAAACACAGCCAGTCATTGAAATTGACACAGATCTATGATGTCATTCTTCCGATTGTAACCCGATAGGGGCCGAAGTCAGGAAGTAGGGATGCCGAGGGCAGCCGATGTTTACCGAACATTGTCGAAGACGGGAACCAAAATGGCCGCCAGTGGACCGCTGGATTTGAGCTGTCGGGGTTTGTACGCGAGAATTGCGGCCGTTAGGTAGTTCTCCGTCGGATTTCCGAGATGAGCTCAACGGAGAGCTTCGACGACACCTCCAGCGGCGGTGACGTCGCCGGATACTTCAAGTCAGGTGCGTAAAAACAGGCTTTCTCTGCGTAAATAAGCGTGGTTTGACCCCACTGTTACCCCAAGTGTTCTGCCGCTGCACTGCAGCTGTTGTGATCATGCCTGGAGCCTGGGCCGATTTTTGCGAGCCCCGATTTCCCGCACCCTGCCCCGCTCCACGGCGTAAAAATCGCCCCTGACCGTTACCGAATTTCCGCATCCATCATCAAATCTTCACACGTGTGTTTGTCGTTGGTTTGGAGCGACGTTTGGTGAACCGCGGCGACGGGCCGCGGCAAACGGTCCCAGCGGACCGCAAGCCCAGTTTTCCCACCCCCCGATAAACAACCGCCCGGTCTGTTCCCGTGCAGCCCGCTCCCGCTCCTAATTTTCTGCCCCGATATTTAGCCTACATTGTCAGACAGCCCGCAGACAGCAGAGGAAAACCGTGGCGCTTTGATCTGTGTGTTTCCCCCTTGTTTCAAATGGATGCGCACAGGAGAAGTCTTGGTATGCTAAGCTCCAACTGGCTTTTGTTAGGGGGTATTTCCCCTTCTGTCAGCAACTAGAGAAGGGGTGGCGAAAAAAAATCCATACCACCCTCTCCCAAACTCCCTCCTTTAAACCTGTGTATAGGTCTCCTATAATTGAGACCTGGACCGATAGCCATTATATACAGCACTTCGATAGCACAGAAGCACTTGCCCTGGAAATATCTGGTACAATTTGTCAGAAATGTACCTCTATACTAGCGAGGTGGTCTGGCCCACACCCTGTATTTCCTTTAATCTAATCACTACCACCTTTCCTGAGAGATAACAAGGGACCAACCTGGCTATGATTGACAGCTGTCAAACTATCCATCAGCAACTGTGTGTAAACAACACATACCTCACTGCTATTTATTGTGAGAAGTTAACACATTGGCACTAAAGCTGTCAACACTCAAGGATGTGGTTTCATGTGCATTGTTTTCTTCCCATTTGATTAGACCATTAAAAATCTATCGTTAAGTACAGAACACTGAGTGGATAACTGGAATCAAAGCATCATGACAACCAACCTCAAAATATTGGATGGTGTTATTTGTAAATACACATCTAATTCTAAACATGTCTTCTTTGCTCACAGTCATTACAGTAGTTGGATACACACATGTAAATAGCTGTTTCACAAGTAGATGCCTCTATTTGATTTGTAATTAGCATGGCCACATCAACCACTCCCAAATATTTTCATCTATTATGAAAAAATAAACAAAGAAAACACGTGGTTCATATTTGATGTACTCTTCTGAGCCATTGAGTTCTTAAGAGCACTGAATTATTAGATTGTTAGAAGATATTTCAGCACTTAGACAACTTTGATTTATATCTATCAATATGATATTGATTATGATATTGATTAATCCATACCAACGTATCAACCATGGCATGTGATAGGATTACAACAACCATATACATGCTTACATTAAAAGTGAACTAATTTGAGCAGGGTATTGTACAAGTGAAAGCTAATACAGCTGCCCCTATCCTTGTAAATGGCTTATAATTTAGGGGAGATCCACTAGATGACTTGAAGTAGGCATCTGTGTTCGTATAGAATGCACAACGTTACATATATCTTACAGAATTTTTTGATATAGAGTTAAGTTTTGAGACCACAATCTATTAGATTTTGGAATGTATTTGCAGATGAATTTTTTTGGAAAAATCTTTCCCCAGGAAATTAAAGGATTTATCCCTTAAGACCTTAAGGGCAAGTAATATATGGAGCTGTCAGTTTGTAGCAAATCAAACATAGCTACTATTTCTGTAGCTGAACAGCAATGCTGCTATAGTCACGTAGGGTACCTCAGTCCCGAGGTTAAGATGTCAAAATAACACTTGGTTCATAATGACACAAGCTATCTAGGTCACAGTTTACTCTCTCCTTTTAAGTCTCCATCTTTGACTTGTTAAGTGTCGGCATTTCCTTACACCCGACACATGGAGTAAGTTTAAGGGGAAGCCCAGACTTGGAAGTGGTCCCTTGGATGCTTGGATGCTTGGATGCTGTGATTACATTACACGACTGTAACGGTGATACCTTTGAAATGTGTGTAGTTCCTGGGAAAAGGAGCTTAGATGAAGGAACTGTCCATCAGGCTATGGTGGCTGTATTAAAGGGGAGAGGTCAAGGTAGCAGGTTGGAGCTAAGTGCTAAGAAAAGCAAGGGGGATGTTTACAGGTCTCCAAGTGGGTAATACAGAGCCACTGTTGACTGCCGACTCTGACGCTGGCTATCACAATATAGCAGGGCTGGAAATACACCTTTATACTATTATATATTATAGTGCAGGTAAAATTGGGGCTGTGCAGGTATTTCTGATGTCTACCTGCACCTTGTCTGCACTGGGCCATGTACATAATTATATGTAGGTGAATGTGGATTTTTATTTTCTGCATTGACTGCAACCACCTATGAAGTAGAAAAGAAATAATTGGCAATGGTTTGTAAACAGTTTGTATCATGACCCGTACTTCCTATATTTTGAGCCGTTCAGGTAAAATATGTCTGGTGTAGGTAAATGTCAATGTATGCAAAAGGCGTATTTCAAGCCCTGGCTGTACAGGTTTCATGAAGAAGAAGTGCTACCTTGTAGCGATGACGTGTAAATTAGAATGTCACAGGTACCAGGATTATGGTGCCACTGACTGAGTGGTAGGAGTGAGTTGTCTCACACTTGGCAGTCCCTTCTCCTGCTGGCTGATAATGCCAAGCTGTCGGTGAGATGTGAATTGGAGGGAAAGCTCAAGGTTAAACTCGAACCTGACAGACAGAGCCTTAGCTGGAGCTACACAGGATTTACCAAGGACTTTCCCACCAAGATGCTGGATGGGCAATGTGCAGTCAATGCTGGCTGCTATCAAAACTACATTGTACTGGATACTACAAAATGGCATTGAAAGAAACTTGAAAAAACTTGTGAAAAGTAGTTCAAACCTTTTTTTATCTCACTTAATACACAGACAATTCCAGAAAATATTAGTACAATGCTGAACTTTATTCTAGCACAAAGGTACAAGGGTCAAATTTACTGGTATGTACAACCACTGTCGCCTTTATCAGGAAAAGAAATGGCCAATTACTTCCAAATGTAACCCCGTCCACAAAATATCGTTTTGTTGCTTTCTCGCCGTTACTGATAGTTGTTATAGATAAAGTTGTGGTCCAAGTTTACACGTTTGCTCACACTCAAACAGTCACAGACAGTTTTTTGTATGTTTACTGTCTGTATCGTCAATGTTGTGAGTAAACCATTAAGGCCAGACTCTAGGCTTGTACATGTAGTACAGTCAAGGTTTTTTTTCTGGTATGTACATTAAACCTTCAGACTAACTCAGATTGATCGGGCTTTGTGAGCCTGACCCACTGAACTGTGCTTAGGTCAAGTGTTGTATATATTCACTGCCCCGAAATTGGCCAGTGTCCAGTTGTGAGGAAATTGCTACATGTATACTTATTGCAGGCTCCTTATTGCCTTTCCTGGCCCAGTTGCCCACCACATACATGTAGTTTAATTAAGGTATCTTCAAATATGAAGCTCAAGATTCTATTCTGTTCTAGAAAATCCATTAGTTTTGGAAGTCTGTTTTTGTGCTTTTGATATGAAGCCCAGAAAAATTAGAGGGCAAAGGTTACTAGAGGTCATTGACTTTATTTGCTGTTGTACTTGTAAATGTACCAAAATGTAGGTCAGTTGACATTGTTGTACAGTTGGGATGTTTTTGATTTTTAAAATAATTTTTAAAAATCGTTGCTAGAAGCTAGCAGCCACCATTATTATTTCATAGCAGAAAATATGAATACCTCAGCCACTGTGAGCTGTATATTAATTATGTACTAGTAATTCAAAGCTGGATTATTCTTGTCAATCAGTGCTAAAATGTATCCTCAAGAAGAAAGCGGGAAAACTGATAATAGGCATTAAGTATGCTCAAAATCCTTGTGAATTTTATATTTTTTTGAAAATTATAGATACAAAATGTATTATTGAAAATAAATGGAACATATTTGTAAGGCATAATTCTTCTCTAATAACTTATAGATTTTTGGGTGTGTTATCTAAATTTCCTGCCATTACAAGAACTGGTAGCACTCCCCTAATGTGGCATTCCGTACACACTTATGGTTCCCGGGGGAATGGCTGATATATTCCTGATGTATTCCGAGGGTGTACATTCCAAGCCTAAGTGCTCTCGGGCCATAAAATTCCGACCATGCTGTCTTTTGGATGAACATTCTTGGCTTGAAAATGACTGGATCATTAGTGTGATATCTTTGCAAATTTGACCACTTCATTTTATGGTTTTATAAACTAGATGCGTTATTGATTTTTCGTAATAACTAATATTTTGAAGATATTTAAGAATATCAAACAATAGTCAGAATAAAAATTGTAGTCTGTTATTGGTGTGATTTTCATGTGAAATATACACATTTACTAGGAAAAATGAATAATTATTTGATATAGGAAACCTGCTAAGACCTTCATTCTAAAACGAGTACAAGTGCTAAAACCTTTTCTTTTGACACAAAGTTATGAAGGTCAAAGTTCAACTATAGCACTTATGTACCTATTATGTATGATTCATAGATCTTGGAGATGATAAAATGATTTTATGAATGAATGTTTCCTGTCAGATCACTCACCACACGTCAGTAATTATTTATGTCCACCAATTTTCTCATGTAAAGGAACATTATGGCACCATAAAGTTGAGATTTTGCATAAAACATGGTACCATTACATTCCTGTGGTATGTTATCTTACAGTCTGGTATCGTGCATTAAGCATTGCAGAACATGCAAACTTCTGTACTGTAACAACTCAGTAAGTGCCTTTTCAGAATGCCAAAAAGTTTACAGGTGTTCACTATGGTTCTTAAGGTTTGGATCAATGGACAAAATGATGTAAAGCCAAAGAGACCAGCAAAAAGAGGCTGTCATGGCCAGATGGCAGGTACAGGTTTAACTGTTGAC